TTATAGTCGCTTGCCAAGAAATATATATAATATATACGCATATTTGTAAATAATTGTACCTATATGTTTTGTTTCGATTTAATTTTAAAATTCTTTTTTTTTTTTTTTTTTTCGTTCTAATACTCAAGTAAAAAATGTATCTTAAATTAGCGATAGAAGCTCAGACAAAGTGCAAAGTCTACCCATAAAGAAATTATATCTTCAAACAAGCCACAGCTGTGTGCAAATCATATAAGCTGACAGAAGCAAAACAAATAGAGCCAAAGACATGAGCTCCACACGTTCTAGAATCATTAGACTTGCCTTTATCTTATCAGAATAGTTCAACCCATCAAGAGAATGACGAAAATCCTCTAGCACGGGGCTTGTTTTCTTATCGACAAGCTGCAGAAAGTGAATTGCTTTGTAATTTGAGCAGCTGCCCCAACGTCCATGGGTGAAAATGTCGTTAAAGTGAACTGATTGTGTGAATCGGCTAATCTCCGCAACAAAATTGCAAATAAATATACAAAACACACTCAGGCAAAGTTCCAAATGGCTCACGTGAGAAAGAATTTTGTTGTTTAGCTTTTTTCTACATATATTTTTTGGAATCATCGTGAAATTCAGTTCGAGCCCCACAAACAATGATAAACCGTCAGCATTGACGTAAGACGGGCAAAAGACTTGAATAAACTACAACAAAAATTTCCCAATAGCAGTTCTCTAAATTTTCTTTATTTTCTACTATATGTATATCTGATTGCATACAGAGCGTGCGAAAGCAACAAAAAAGAAAAGCAACGCGTGACTTTGATCTTGGCCTTCAAATTATAGATGCTATCTTCGAGGGTTTGTTTGAGGTATTATAGGTATATATATTCTAGATGTTTTCCAAACTGAGCGAAGAGAAACGATACATTGCTATTAGTATTGGAAATGAATGATTCTATTATTTTCTTTTCATTAGCTTATTAGTTGTATTGTCATTTTGATAAGTGTAAAGTAGATATGAACAATTACACTGGTCGACAAAAAAAAAGCCCAAGAATAAAAGCTACCAAACCTGAAAGGATTTTAGCTGTAGATTACTACCTCATACTTGGAAACTTTCTATCACGTCGAAGTTTTGAGAAATCCGTGGTCAAAGTTCCAAATTTTCGATTTTTAGGCACTTTTTGCGACTTAATAGTAAGAAAACCCTTCGCAGCCCAGAGCCACAATTTAGCGGAAAAGGTAATCAAATAAAAACACCTCTTAACGAGGTAAAAAACTAGTGACGACCGCACCTTCAACATACAAAAGTTTTGATATCAACATTTGTGACGAAAAATTATTACACTCGTCATTAAATAGACTTTCTAATATTTTCTCATTCGGCCCGCCCTAGCAAACTATTCCAGCATTTTTCCCTTCACAGGCATTTTCTATTGCAGCGTGCCGAATGAGAAAATATTAGAAAGTCTATTTAATGACGAGTGTAATAATTTTTCGTCACAAATGTTGATATCAAAACTTTTGTATGTTGAAGGTGCGGTCGTCACTAGTTTTTTACCTCGTTAAGAGGTGTTTTTATTTGATATCAGAAGTTTTTGTTTGTTTACATTTGCTCTCATAGGAGCTAATATATACATTTAAATTTAAATTGGTCAATCATAATTTTTAAACTATTGTATTTTAACAAGTTAAGTTAAAAAGGCGTTGAAGTATTTCAAAATACCTTTTAAACGAGGTATAGCACATGTCTGTACCTTTAGTAGTGCAGAACTTACAAACTAACGAAATTTAGCTATTTTTAGCTTTTTCCCGCTAAAGTAGCGGCTTTTTCCAAAAGTCGTAGAACAAAAGATTCCTATATGGAACTCTTAAGTGCAAATTTACTGATTCCATGACCCTAAAGTACAGTTCGGATACCCTCCCACAAAATTCAATACTCAGGGAGCGTTAATTGTTCGAGCTGGCAAAAGTGGCTATTTTCGTATAAAAATAACTTTTAAACGTGACTTTTTACAGTAATGTGTTATATACCAAAATTTAAGGAATCTCAAGGGCTATACAGTTTAAGGTTTTAAAGAAAATCGTTAGAGCCGTTTTTGAGAAAAATAAAAAAAGCTAAAAAAAAGTTTTAAAAAATTGTCTTTTGTTCATATTTTTTTAATTATTACATTTACACAAATTGCATATAGAAGGCGTTTATAGCATTTAAAAATACCTTTCAAACGAGATGCAGCACAAGTCTGTAGCTTTAGTAGTATAGAAGTTACGGCTTTCCGATTTTTAGCTATTTATAGCTGTTTTCCCGCTAAACTAGCGAGTTTTTCCAAAAGTGGTAGAACAAAAGTTTTTTATATCGATGTGATGAACGTCATATAAAATTTTCAAAACTTAAAAAACATGTTTTGGACAAACTGACAAACTGACAAACTGACAAACTGACAAACTGACAAACAGAATTAAATTTTCATTTTGGGAAGACGAAGAAAATCTTATTTTGGCTATAACTTTTGAACGGAGCGTCGGATTTTGACAAACGACCCCTCATTCGACGGGTATTTTCAAAAGGAATACAAGTAAAATATTGCGAGGGGGCAATTATCCCCACCGGCCCCAACAGCTCCAAATTTCGAAATTTTCACTTTTTCACTTTCACCGCTCTCTCTCCCAAGCCAATTGATTTTCTTAGAGTCTTGGTATGCAATCCTGTTAGTTTTTGCAATACCTTTCGATAGGTGTATCATTCATTATGATCGGACCATCACAGTAGATTTTCATTTCTTCGTGTATATATAGTAGTCGCCTTCGCACACTCTCCTGGTGCGCTTCGTCACTACATGGACTGCCGACCATAGTGATTTGAACCTTTAACTTCAAGATTGTCCAATCACAAAGTTGGGCGACCTCTACTTCTTTAGCTACAATGGATTTTGCTGAAGTACTTTTTGTCACTTTTTTTCATCTATAGTAGCCTGATATTTTTAATGTATTGTATGTGTACGGGTCTCAGTTCAACAAGGAACCTGTTACCTGTCTATAGGAGCTTATTCAGTTGGTTTCTGTTAATAGATAAAAAACAAACCGTCAGATAAGGTCTTCGACTCACTACGTGACTACAAACTGATCGAACCAGCTAATCAATAATCCTGATAAGTCACGAGCGGATATGATTGCACCAGAATGCTGACTTCTTGCAGTTTAATTAAATCATATTAATTAGAATTAGGAAAAAACAATTATCAAAAAAAAAACAGCGAACGTCAATGACAATAAGCCTGCAACGTCTTTTGGACCTTGTTTGCCCCTCCGCCGGTTTCTATAAATACAACTTTTATTGATCAAATAGCAACAGTCTAGAACCACCCTCGCTGGCAGGTTTGGGTTGAAGGTCTGGGGCATGGGGCGCCAACCTTGATGTGTGCAACGAGCCAACCCGGCAACGATGTCACCAAAGTAGCGTCGTGTTTTTAATTAGCCAAAGTGCCAGTACGGATATCGGCTGTGTTTTCTATGTCCAATATAAAGAAAGCTTGGAACTAACTAAACAAAAGTATACCAGAAAAAAGCCAAAACTCACTATAATAAATTACTCATTAGTACATGTTTAATACAACATTGTTATATTTCGAAGTCTGGGCAAATCTTAGGACTTAGAAACTCTTTAATCATACATCCGTTTGCAATATTTGTTGAGTCAGCTCATATTATTCTTTGGCTAACCCGCTGTTTTTCCATTTTCGCTTACAGCACACAAAACGCACTGGATGGGTGCTGCGTGATGTCAACGACTGCGAATCGATTTCGGGCCACATGTACAGGATGAGCATGCTGACCTTCCTGCTGGACGGCAGCGAGGGCCTCAATCAGATCCGCTGCATGGAGCTGGCATTGGTACACGACTTGGCGGAGAGTTTGGTGGGCGACATAACGCCCTTCTGCGGGGTTTCCAAAGACGACAAGCGGGCCATGGAGTTTAAGGCGATGGAAGATATTTGCAAGCTGATCGAGCCTCGTGGAAAGCGCATTATGGAACTCTTTGAGGTGGGCTACTCAGCAAGATTCTCTTTCTCGTGGATAGTAGACTTATGTTATCCCATTTCCAGGAGTACGAGCATGGACAGACTGCAGAAAGCAAGTTCGTCAAGGATCTGGATCGCCTGGACATGGTTATGCAGGCTTTCGAGTACGAGAAGCGGGACAATTGCCTTCTAAAGCACCAGGAGTTTTTCGACTCAACGGAGGGCAAGTTTAACCATCCGTTCGTTAAGAAGTTGGTGAACGAGATCTACGAGCAGAGGGATGTCCTGGCCAAGGCCAAGGGAGCCACACCCCCGCCGGCCATTGAGGTGCCCAACATGGAGAGGTCCACGAAACTGGCCAACGGGCACGACGGCTCAAGTTGAGCGTTATTCTAGGAACCTGTCTTAGGCTAGCACATGAACACATCCTCATATACAAACCACCACGCTCTTAATTTGTAAGCCAATCCAACTAACAAACGTTAAGCCTACCTCGACACGCTCATAGTTAGATCTAACTTTTAACACACTAATTTATTGCGAAAGAAACGGAAAAGATGATACCGATGGGGAGTAGCTATCAATTAATATGAACAAACAAACACCTGTTGAACACGTCTCCTTAGTTCAATTTCCTTTAAGTTAAGCGTAAAGTTGCGGATCGAGTTTTATCTAATTATTCAATTGATCTGACTTAGAAACACAATTGTACATAACTAAAACGAATTGTAGTTTATTTTAAAAGTATAATGACCACTGACGAGGCGAACTATTGTGAATGTTGTCTTATAGCAATTTTATTCAAGCAGCCGAACTTATAAATCAAAATGTAAGACCAGAATCAAAATCAAAATACTTGGTTTTTAATAATTTGTTGGCACCTTACTTTTACCCTTGTATCGAACAATTGTCACCAAAATTAATATAACATTGTGAATTAGGAAATTAAAAAGAATGCAGTCACGCTGCAGACGTGGCTAAAAGACAAAGCACAAATTGTTTGATTGCTCACAAAATGGAAACTTTATTGGCGAAACACAGAAATATAATCCAAAGGTGTCGGAAACTGCAGCTCTTATCGGACACATTGGCTATGTATTCTGAAATAAATTACAGTTACTTATCTTTAAAGATTCCAGTATTCTTAGGACAAACAAACCTTCGATGACAATGAACTGGCTGTCGCGCGTGGAAGTTTGATGCGAGTGCTGACCATGCTTCTTGGCTTTATCTGCGGATTAATAGTGGCTTTGTTTATGGGATTATGTAACCGAAATCAGAACCGACTTACGATGCACTGTTATAATCCGATCTGTTTGGCCCACCGCATTCTTGGCCCTGCATTTGTACTCTCCAAAGTCTCGCTTCGTAATCGGACGCAGGGTGATCCGCATCACGATTCGGTGGACGTGATCTACTGTGACCGACTCATAGGAACCTCCTTGCAGCAATTCGGAGCCCCTCAGCCAGAAGTTTAACGACGCGGGCTGCGATTCTGTGATGCACTCCAGCGTCAGCTTCTGGCCCAGACCCACGTAGATGGTGTCGTATCGAGTCCAGATTGTCGGAGCAACTGCATGGGGTATGAAAATGGGGTTCATTTAATAATATAGAATGATTGAAAGAATCTCACTTACAGTTGACCACCAACATGACGCGTTTGCTCACTGTGGGTGGCACACCGTTGGAGGCGATGCAGAGGTAGGCGCCCATGTGGGAACGCTGCACCTGCCACAGCGTGAGATTCTGACCTTCCACGCTGTACACCTCCAAATCGCCATCGTCTGAAAGCAAGAGCGGAGCCGATTCCTCTCGACGCCAGGTTATGGTGGGCAAAGGAACTCCTGTCGCACTGCAAGTGAGGGTGACGTTATCTCCCGTGGTACGAACCACATCCTGACTGGTTTGGTAGTCCACAATATCGGGTGGGACCACCACATCCAGGTAGCCCATTTGGCTCTTCATGGGATCTGTGTTGATTTGGCACATGTACCTATTTAAGAGAAAAGGTATTCAAATTCATTTAATACCATTAAAGAAAACAAACATAAAAATTGACAAATGAAAATAATAATTCAAAAATATATGTATAATGCGTTTTTAAGATACAAATAGAACTTATTCGATTTATTATATCGTACCATCCGCGATCCGATTCCTGGACGTCGCGGATTTTCAGCTGCCATATGCGATGCTCTGTGTGGGAGATGGCGATGCGATGGTTCTTGGTGATGACATGGTTCTGGATGCTCAGAATGGTCTGCGTGTCCACTCGCAGCCAGGCCACCTTGAAGCTAACTAAATCGTGGACTATACACGTGAGCAACGCATCCCGTCCCACGGGAACTGTTGAATTGTTGATGGGTCCGCTGAACTTGGGATCCGCTGGAAAGGATGAAGATGACACCAAACGCAATTGGTTGACATTTATGGCTTTCATCATTAGGGCGCTAAATGGGGCGGACACAGTACAACTTCTGGGCGCCTTTTGGGGTGGTTTATGGGGCTTGCAAATGTTAGGCACTGGCATTTGGTCTATCCCCATTTCAGGGAACTCGGGCGAACAAATTTAATTCAATTAGAAAATAACCTTTTTTAATGTGTGGCTTTTTTAATCCACAGTTATCAGGATAATTATTTCATTTCGTTTTCTCACACATTTCTGCGTGTGTCTGCAGAATGTCAACAGCCTAAGCTGAAAATGTTCAACACTTGCCAGATGGCCCGCCAAAATGGTCAAGGATATTTAAAATTGCTCAACGGTCATAAATTTGTTGAGGTTAACATTAAGCCGAGACAGCAGCAAATAATCCAACAATTAGGGAAATTAACTGTTTATTAGAGATGGCAGCTACTTTTTCGTTGTCAAACCTAACAACATAGATTTAAAAGAACCATTTTTAAAGATTTCTTACCTAAAATTATTTGCCTTCATGTCAATTTTATAAGAATAATAATTCAATCCTTAAATTCCACGAAAAGATATAAGATAAAAAGAGATGTCCTATCAATAGCACTATGCAACATCATAAATGTACCCTGATAGATGCTACACTCAAAATAAATTTAACCCTAAATTTTAGAAAATCGCCCTAAAAATTTCTTTTTTCTAAATACAAGAAAGTTATTTCTAAATCTAAGGAAATTTTTCTTAAGTCAAGAAAGTTTTTCTCAAATCTAGGAAGTTTTTCTTAAATGTAGAAAATGGTTACCATGAACTAAAATCACCCTAAAATCTAGAAAAAATGTCCTAAACTTTAGAAATTATTTTCTGAAAAATAGAAAGGCAAACGAAAATAATAAAATATTTTGGCAACACCTTTTCTAAAAATTAGTGCCCTAACCCTAAAATGAAACCAACCCTAAATAATAGAAACATTTTCTAAAAAGTAGAAATTTTTTCTAAAAAATAGAAATATTTGTTTTCACATGCTCTGGCACACCAAAATGTTCAATGCCAGAACTTGTCAACTGCCGGCCGGCTGTACCCGTGGCGCAGAAGGTTAAAGCACTTGGTTAGCAATCGAATCGACGCGGGTTCGAGTCCCAGAGCAAATTTTTTTTACCTTTTTTTTTTTAATTTTTTTTTTAATGTTATTTTATTTTTCTTTTTATTTATTTTTTTACTTTTTTTTATTCCTTTTTTTATTGATGGCAAGCGGTAAACTGAAAATAATTAGGTTTATATTCAGCTATTTACTATATACTACACATAATATAAATTGCGTTAGCATAAATATATACATATGTATGTATATACGTATGTAAATAAGTAAAACGCGAATGGTCAAAATTATGCAATTGGTATTCAAATGTGTTGTCCGCTTCACCCTTTACATACTATGCTCGGTTTGCCACAACAAATTTATGTGCTACAATGGCCCAGTATGTAGGCCGTTCGCTCCTCGCGCGGGAGACCCGGGTTCGATTCTCACGACGGACAAGTAAAAATTGTAAGTTTTTTTCATGAAGATAAAATATTAACTAATCATAATTTATACATTCCCCCATTCCCCCGCAGTCCCGTAGTCCACATTTACAACCACATTTGGCTTTGGTTACATAAGAAATCTAAGTGCAAATACATAATAATAAATACATAACCTTTAACATTCACAATATACAAGACACACAACGCCTGCATATGTACATAGGGAGGAGTACATAATATAAACGTATATACAAAAAAAATCATGATTGAACATGTTTTTTTGTTTTGTTTTTAATTTCTATGTTTTAGGAAAATTTCCTACTTTTTAGAAATTTTTGCCCTTAAATTTAGTAAAATTACCCTAAAATTTAGAAATATGACGTCAAAAAAAATCAAAAATATAGAAAAATGTGACCCTAAAATTTAGGGCTAGCTTGTCTTGAAGACAAAAGTAGGGCGATTTCCTTGACTTTAGGGTTAATTTTATTTTGAGTGTATTGTTTTAAATTCCTAACGAATTCCCAAGTTTAACTTCGTTGTGCTAAGAATCCTTGCGTCGTGGAACTTTTTGAAAAACGCAGTATAACTCGGGAACTCGTAACAAATTCAAAACAATAGCATCCATTAAAATAAATTTAAAAAGCATTAGTTTTGTAACACAGTGTAGTTATTGATATATCCATCATTGATTCATCTTTCTCATAATGGTTGGGAAGTTAACAATTAATTTATTTTCGAACTGCTGAAGTTCAAACCCTACTCTTCAGGTACATTTTTGATTTGGCTCAACTTGAGTCCCATCGCAATCATTTCCATTCAAACTGCCCAACCGCAAGACTTCGACATTTGCCGTCAGCCAACTTAACCACCAGAGTTCCGACCGCAAACCGACCTCAGACCATCGCAAACACAACGCCGGGAAGGAGGCAGGAAAAATGGAAAAATCGCATCACATGCCTAACAAGTAGCATGACTTTGTGGCGAGGAGACGAGCTATTCGGCGGCTTCTCATTCCACACACCACAAATACCTAAATTACAATTATGAGCAAATAATAACCCGAAAAAATGCAAAAATCTAATAGAGCGGTTTGGGGCCGGTGGCAGTACCTGGAAAATTGTAAAAAGCTGGCTACACCTTTACATTTCGCCCCCTCCCCACGAATTGATTGCGTTGCGGGTGTGGGCGGGTCTCCACCAAACTAGCATCAAATTGGGGGAGCCTACGATGCCATGCCATATAGCCTATAATTTGCGATTATGTTTGGGTCTGGGCCCTGGGCAAAGTAGGGTGTTTTGGGTCCGAGTCGGTGTTCGGGTTCCGTTCCGCCTTTCGTCCCTTTAAATGTGAGAGACGCCATTGTTTGACTGCCTTCAGTTGATATGGTTTCTGTTTTTGTTGTTATTGCAATTTGGCTATTGCATGTTTGCATATTGAAACATTCCGAAGAAAGGGACGAGCGAGACCTTTTAAACCATAGAGCACATCGTATTTGCACTGAGGATAAAAATTCTGTTTCTGCAGAATGTCCACAGTTGAAGGTGTCCTAAAAATCAAATTTAGAGGTTCTTACACACAAAAAAATTTGCTTGGTAAAATTGACCAACAAAGATAGTTGCGTAACTATTAAAATAGTTACGTGTATTTTGTTTTTGCTTTGGGTTTGTGTCCTTGCTAATTGTGTGTATTTGTTGTTGTGAAAGTGACTATTTACTTAGTAGAATTGACAATTTTGCTGGTTGGGGCCTGTTTGACAATTATTACAGTTGATTTTACCAAGTTTTTTTTTTGTGTGTAGGATCTTACCATTTATAAATCTTGATCTCATTCTTTATAAAAGCAGATATGATAGAAAAAGAGATTTGAAAATCAGGAAAAATTGATTATTTCTTATAATAGGTATTTGTTTCTCTCCTTGAGATAAGGTCAGTTCTAACGGGTTCAAAGTCTTTCCATTTTCATATTATATTTTATCTGGGAAAATAAATGATTTCTTTAAATTTCTTTAAATCGAACTTCTTTATAAGACAAGATTTTAAAAAGTTCAAAGTCTTCTTCTTATTTGAAATCCCTTTAACCTATTTGTTAATTATTTTGAGTGTATAAACATAAGGCCTTTCTTACTTATATATATTTTGTAATGCAATTTCGCGTTTAACTTTTTCGCCACCACACGCCTTTGTTGTTGGCGCTTTTTATAGAGGAAATTGACTATGAGTTGTTAAATATATTCCTGTTTTCTTGCACGATTTGTATCGCTGGCCAAAGGCTTAAGTCGTAATTTCCCCGTGAAGTCCCTGCAAATCCGGCCGAGTCCCTTACCCACGCCGTTGAACTTGAAACGGAAAGTGAATGTCCTGTCTCCTGTTAGACACTCCAACCGTCTGCAGGCGAGTGCAGGCGAAAAGAATCACAATCAGCACGCAATGTCTGCCAAAAAAAAAATGGTAAAAACATGGAAAATAACCCACTGCAGTGCCTGTAAGACCCGCAACTCCCACCCAAAAACGCGGCACTTCAGCGGCACAAACCACCAGCCACGAATAGAAAAATGAAAATAACGCAGAGTGCAATAGGAATAGGAAAACGTCGCCTTTCCGCGACTGTCTGTCTGCCTGCCCGCTGTGAAGGGGGTGGTGGGTGGTTGGGAGCTTCGTTTCGGTTTTGGGGCGGAACATCGTGGGGTGCATCACTCCTTTTGAGCCACTTCTCACTTTCTTATCGCACGCTGCGGCTAGTCTGCCAATATTTATGTTTATTTTGCATCTGGCACATTGATTTAAATAACGAATTTCCAATTTTGATATATTTATCGCACTTGGCTCGCCAAAGTCAAGGAAAATTTGTTTTGTTTTTTGCCGACCATTTTCCCTGGCGGAAGTTACCCCTCGTTACTCTTCCGCAGCTCTCCTCCGGAAACCCCTACGCCATGTCTGGTCTGGTCTGGGGAATATGTTGGCCACAGTTTATTCACTTATGGACTCGTTGGACTTCCGATTACCAGCTGCCTCCATTTTATCCGCTGCTGCTGGTATTTATAACGCTTTTCGTTAGCACTCTGGTTTTAGATAGTTTGCAGTCAATTAGCTGCGCCTTTTTGGAGTACAAAGGCTTAGCTTGTAGACAGGTTAAAATCTAATTGTTCTAGTTAATTACTTTCGAATACTGCGGCTTCAAATCCAGCATATTTAGTGCCGTTTTCTCGTCCCTTTGATAAATTTAAAGTAGGGTTTAAGCCTGGAAATCGAATGGGAAGTCATGGCTTATATTTTGCTTTAAATTTTACAGGGGGACGAGAAGACGGTCCTTAAAATATGAAATTTAAGGCACTATTAACATTAATAAAACAAGAGAGAACGCTATAGTCGGGTTGTTGTCCCGACTATCTAATACCCGTCACTCAGCTAAAGGGAGTGCGAACGCTGTGTCGGGTTGGTGTCCCGACTAATAATCGTAACTCAGCTAAAGGGAGTGCGAGGGAGATAGATATATAATTTTTGATTGCGTATAACTTTTTAATGAATGGTCCGATTTGAAAAATGTCTTCTACATTTCGATAGGTATAAATATACACAACAAAATTGCATTTATACTTCTCGGAAATCTTTAAAGATGTGGGCGCAGGACCCATTTTAAAATCGTTAGTGGGCGATTGTGGGCGTTAGAGGGGGCGTGGCGCTCGGCTAAAATAAACTTGCGCTGCGTAGGAAGCCAAAGAATATGTGTGGGAAATCTCAACCTTCTAGCTTTTGTAGTTTCTGAGATCTCAGCGTTCATACAGACGGACAGACGGACAGACGGACATACTTACATACTTACATACTTTTGCACGAATCTAGTATACCCTTTTACTCTACGAGTAACGGGTATAATTAATAAATAAAATAAATCAACATTAAATGTTTTATCAAAGAAACAAATCAACTTCTAGCGGCTGTAAAATGAAAAAAATGGTAAATATTTATAAATTGTTGCGAATTGTTTTTCCTTTTAAACAATTAATGTTTAAGGTCCAAGTTACAATGCGATAAAAATACCTAAGGAAGCGCCATAATTAATTTTTTTTTTTCAAAAAATGTAAACTCTTTAATTGCAATTGCAAAAATGTAAAAGCAAAAAAATATATTTTTCAGCTTTTCCAGTAAACGTAAATTATACATGGCAACAGTATGCATCCACCACATATGTCATTTAAATGCGTTTCTTAAATTCCTATTTAAATAATAAGTTACTGGAATGGAAAGGTCCGACTCTTGTCATAATTGGCCTTCATTTACCAGTCCATTGAAAATCGTTAACTATTATCTATCCGCTGTATTTATATCTTTAAGGATCCTACATTTCCGGTCGACTTACAATTATTCAACTCCGAGAAGCTGGCCCGGCTGAGGCACAGACACTGCATGAGCAGGAGCCAAGTGCTGCCGGGGAATCGCCTACTCATATTCACAAATTCAACCGCGACCAAAGTGCCAAACTTTGAAAATATTGTTTCGCCCTCTCTTTTTTATTTTGCCACTTTCACTGGCCAAATAGCCCAAGTTGAACTTCCGCTGCACTAGTGCAAATTTATTTTTTCCGGTCTTTGGATAAAGTTTTCCTTTCCGCCGATTGCCGTGGACAGACGTCCGCGCACTCTTACAACTGGCCGCGAACTGCGAGCGGAGCTGATAATCAAGTGTCAAAAATTATATTCAAAATTCAAATGCTGCCTGGCGTTGCGCATGTGTCCTGCGGCCTTGCGAGGATGGGTGGCTGAATGGGTGGGTGGGCTAGGTGGTTGGGCAGTAGCCAAGGTGCCCCGCAGCCAAAAGACGGAGATGGAGGTATGCAATAGTAAATGTTTCATTCATAAAGCGCCCGGCGCAACATATTCATATGCACGTGACGTGTTGCCGAGGGAAAGTGACACCACATTGGTATTTGAGGGAGGTGGGTGGAAGTTGAAGGGGCGGGCATCATCCCCTTGCCAACTCCAACTACAAAACTCTACCAATACCATTCTAATTAACCCCGAAATTCCGCACATCTCCTGCTAAACTTTCACCTGTCTTCGCATCCTTTGGCATCCTGCCATTTCTGCCACTCGTGCACTTTTCCAACTGGCTCGGTTTGCATGTGTGAGCTTTTTAATAAGTTAGCAATAAGTTCGCTCCGCTATTTGCGCACAATTAGCGCTTTTCAATAGCGATAACAATAATGATAATAAGCAAGCGGAATTTGCTTGATTGTTGTTTTCTCTGGGGGCCCATCTTTTGCTGGCACAAGCAAGATTCTCACGCCGTTGGTAGGAAAGAGCTCTACTTACTTGTTTTCTTGTATTTGGACTCTGTCTTTATAGTATAAGGATTTCGAACGTTATTGGAGTGAACGTGTTTTTTTTACAGACTTGAGTATATTAAGTCGGTAATATTTTTGTTTCCTGTCCTGTTTACATGCTTTGTTTGCTCCGATCTATAACATAGATCATTATTCATGAATATGAATCATATCAGTTGCGAGAAAAAAATAATAGCAGCACTTCGCCACAGGTTTATAATTATCAAAGTAAAATTGTAAGAGTTGCTTTTTAAAAAATGGTTTTAAATCCCAAAATATATATATACCCTTGCAGAGGGTATTATAATTTCAGTCAGAAGTTTGAAACGCAGTGAAGGAGACGTTTCCGACCCCATATATTCTTCATCAGCATCACTAGACGAGTCGATCTAGCCATGTCCGTCTGTCCGTCTGTTTCTACGCAAACTAGTCTCTCAGTTTTTGAGCTATCGGAATGAAACTTTCTCAAAAGTATTCTTTCTATTGCAGGTAGTGTAAATGTCGGAATCGACCGGATCGGACAACTAAATCTTATAGCCCCCATAGGAAGGATCGGAAAAAATACGTTGAAAAAATTCTAACTTCGGTGTTTTCTCAAATATTACCTTCTACTCTTGGGAATATTATTTTTTATATACTTCTGAATTTCGAATTAAATATTTAAAAAATCGGATCACTTTATCATATAGCTGCCATAGGAACGGTAGAAAAATTAAATGGAAATCATTAGGAAAAAATTATATCTTTGATGATTTTTATAACATTCTCTTCTACTCTGGGATATGACTATTTTTAAATATTTCCAAATGTTGATTTTAATTTTAAAAAGATCGAACTGATGTATCATATAGCTGCCATAGAAACTATCGAAAAATTAATGTGAAATAATAGGAAATTTAACATTTTTGCGATTTGTAAATTAATAGAATGATCTGCAAGGGTATATAAGCTTCGGCTGGCCGAAGCTAGCTTCCTTTCTTGTTTTTTTTTTAATTTTAGGATTTGTTTAACAAATTACGAGTCATTATCATTTTATTTTAAAAGAATACATTTAGTTATAATTTTTTAATACAGGTAACTAAAGATTTAATTACTTATTGGCAAGGATTATTGGATTAAGGACTTGTAGCCAATACATGCATTTTTCTCGGTTTTTCATCATTATTTTGCTAAAATAATTGACTTGGCTAAAATAAAATGTATTAAGCTTAAATAAAGTAGAAACGATGAAAGCCAAAAGTATAGAACATCTTATAATACAATATAACAGGAATTACGAAATGCTACCAATATTTTGTTTATACAATACTGACCTTAAAAAATATTAAATATATTAATTCCTTTGATACATTATTACCACTTTCCTGTCCAACCCATCTGTTGTGCATGCCTATAAAGATAAACTGTGCACATGATCTATTTTAATATTATTTTTCGTTATGCTGAATTTTCTAGGTTTAAATCGAAAGTGTCCGTTATGTATATTACGCGCAGTGCTACCAGACGGTCAAAATAAATTGATTTCGTTTTCGATGGTTCGTTTCTTGGCTAATCGTGTATAATGTCAAATGTTATGTAAAAAATTTAAGACTCTTTAAGAAGAAATATCTACATCGAACTTCCGACGAAGCATTCTGGACTCCATGCTCCACCAGGATCCCGTATGACCCGCTGCGACTTACCGAAATCTGACCTTACCCAGAAGACCTCCGGCCTTTCGATCCGGAAGGTGTCATACCAGGGTCCAGAAAATCACCACACTGATAAAAAAATCCAAAGATTCCATATTTAATACAAATATTTTTCGCTTTGATTTTCATCCATTGAGGTTTTTATTAAATTTAAATATGTGCATATTCACTTTTTTTCAATATTAAATGTGCCATAACGCCCGAGGGCGTTATCCATTTACTTGGATCACACTACACCCACTACTAAGCTGATTACCGAAGAAGTTACGGTACGCGTTTCAAATGAACCGAGTAAATTATTTTAAAAGAAATTACTTCATTTCGGGCGTGGAATATGTAATGTATATTCTGGTCTAGAATGATTCTTTTAACGCTGGATTCTATTTGGTTCAACTTTATTCCTTTATTTTTATTAACTTTTTGCGAAACAGAAGGAAAACCAAAGGAAGTGATCTATACAAATTCGATTCGAGCCCTGTCTGAGCTTCGGGAGATTGAAAATTCCTATATGGAGCATTTGACAAACTATGTTACCCTTCTGCACCAGAAAGTCGAAAGTTTGCGAATGTATGATATTCCACAATCTTTCCAAATAATTAGTAATTACAGTAAAACTATCCATCAGGTTTATTAATTCTGATGAACATGAGAATCTTCATAATACGGAAGATCGCATTCAATATTTGTCCAATCCATTAAATACCTTGGGTCTTGTAAGACGAGCTCATGAAGATTGGCCCAAGTTGATTGCTTACATCAAGAATCCAGATCCTGCAAAGGGTATAATACATATATTGAAAGAATGAAAAAGCGGCACTAAATATTCAGGGCTACTTGCTAATTTAACTAATTGCAGTTGAGATTGAAGAAATGGATAAGCTTGTAAATCGAACACCCACTGCGGAGGATATGCAAGAGGCCTTGTTGGGAATGGAAAGGATTGAGCACTTTTATGACCTGAAGTCATCGGATATGGCCAAGGGTCTTTTGGCGGGCCAACAGCTGCAGTAAGAAAGTGAAGTAGATTTAGCATAAGCATCTAAATAAGTTAAGCATTTAGAACCCGAATGTCCGCTCCCGATTGCCTGGCTATGGCGGACTATATGTACAACAGATCAGAATTTCGACTGAGTGCCCAGTGGTATCGGTTAGCTTTGAGTGTTTTTAGAGAGCCCCCGAATAGTATTGCTCGCCAATTCTATCTTCCAAAGCGAGAAGAGCTACAAAAAATGTTCATCATAAGTCGGCTTCAAGAGGGCGAGTATAAAAAAAAATTAATAATTATGTAACTCCTATTAAAATAAATAACTTACAACCAGGTTCGCTTGACAGCATCAGCGACTATCTGAGGGAACTATCCGAAGAGCCAGGGACTCCACTGGCCCACTTAAAGCCGAAGCCACCTACCTCTGACATTGAACGGGGCTGCAGGGGAAAGTTTCCACCAGGTCCTCGACTGGTGTGTCGCTACAATAGCACCACAACACCATTTATGCGAATAGCTCCTCTCAAGGAGGAGGAGATCAGCAGGAACCCGCTTATCTGGCTATATCACGATGTGATCTACAACAGTGAGATTGCTCAACTGACGAATTTGACCCGAGATGAGATGATCCTGGGCACTACTGATAACTACACAACTCCAGACCAGGTCAGTCGTCTTTTTTACGTAAAAGTCACCGACGACGATGGCGGCAATTTGGACAAGACATTGATAAATCGCATGGCGGATATATCGGGGCTCGATGTTGGCAATACAACTTCATTGGCCAGAATTAATTATGGCTTGGGTAGTTACTTTCCAGAGCACAGCGACTACGTAGACCCCAGACTTCATCCGGCAAGTAACCTGTTGATATACAGAAGCAAATCGTTTAATATATATATTTTGTTTTTATCCACAATCCTATTAACTAGGAACTGAGCGAGGAAGGTGACCGACTAATGACTTTTTTGTTCTATGTAAGTACCTATTTGTTTTGACATTAAAACAAATCAAATTTTAAAAGTAAAGGATTAGAAACCAGCAGTTAGAAAAACACACTTTGGAAGGTAAAACTTCCATGTAAAAACCGCTAGCTAAAGAATTAATTTAGAAGTGATTAAGACTGTGGCGGATTCAGGATTTGGTTGTACACACATTTAGTTGCTTACTTTTTGAATATCACAATTCTTTTTACTTTTCTGGTACTTATTCCTCTTTAAAAATCCCCATTTTTATTCCTTTCTATGTTGCTGCTATTTTCACCAGGTGACCGATGTTCCATTGGGTGGTGCCACTATTTTTCCGGACGCAAAACTAGCCATTCAGCCGAAGAAGGGTTCGGCCTTGTTCTGGTACAATCTGCACAATAATGGCGAACCAAACCCATTGACCAGGCACGCCGTTTGTCCCATGATCCTGGGCAGCCGGTGGGGTAAGTTCCTAAAAGGACCTCAAACTAAGAACAAATATCAACTCAATTATTTTAAACTTTCAGTTCTAGTCAAGAGCATGTTGAACTATGAGCAAATGTTTACAAAACCCTGTTACAAGTAGCAAGTATATAAATATCAATTGGAATAAAACAATTCTGTGTTCTGTTTTAAAAGCTACACAAATAGTTTTAATAGTTACTTCAAATGGCAAATAATATTGTGATAAGCTGGATTATGAGCTGAACCATTAATACGATTCCCATTGGTAAAGTTAAAATACTTCTTAAGTCAGTAGCTAATCGATTAAAAATGCTAGCCAGTTAATGATGAGCCACAATATGAGCCAAATGGCTGGCTGGGTCGATTATTTTCCATTTCAGTTCGATGGTTAATGCTAAAAACTCCTTAATTACTCTCTTCCTTTCCATTTGCATTCGATGTCTTCATGGGTGGTACGTAAAACCACCAGGCACACGTAAAGAAGACTACGGAACCCAGTTTGCAGATCAACGCCAATAGCCACATATAACTACAAAAATGATGGTAATTAATAATGATAAAGAAATATTTGTATGGGAAATACAAATCTAACAATCTTACCGGCTGATATAGAAATTATCGTAAACGAGGCAGGCTCCTCCACCATCCTTATCGCAGGACTCCTGCCACAAAATGCAAGACTCATCGATCAGGGCTCCGAAAATTAGTGGAGCAGGTATGGTGCCCAGCAGACGCACCTTTATCCATTGCAGGCCCAGAGCGAAGGAGCGCTGATCATCCTGAACACATCTGCAAGCAATGGATACTAATTATGGTTACAAATTATAGGGCACTACATAATAATTTACATAATTAAAGAAAATTTGATCTTAGAAATAGCGGAAAAAAAATTCTGAAAATGAGTACGAAGTTCTAAGGACTGGGAAATTAAAAAACACAAAGTCTTAAAAATATCGTCCTTAAATCTGTGGTTTTTCCTTGATTTAACTACAAGGAAATCTCTTTGATTTTTGTGGTTTACAGATATAATAATTACATTTTGGAATATGTAAAATATCAAAAGTGCACCCACCTCAGAGTGGCTGACAGGGCGGGCATAGTGGCGAGGAAGGTGAAGACCATCAAAATGAAGCAGAGGGCCACGAAGATCGGCAGGGTCTGGCATGTGGAGTCGCACTTGAGGTTGGTGGCTTCCGGGCGGAAGTGGGACGTACTGCCCTCGTCCACCCAGCCGACGCTTTCGATGCAGCTGCAGTTGTGGTAGCGCTTCAGGCTGTCCACGTGCTCCTCCTGGGCACATCCTGCGAAGCAGGGACTGTAGTACATGACGCCATTGACGCCACAGATGGGATCATAGTTCGTGCGGCTGCAGCCGCAGTTGGAGTTGCATCTCGCCTCCAAAGCGGGTGCATCGCTTCTGGCCTCCAAATTGTAACCTGTTGTGACGCCAGCGAACTTTGGATTTGGGCAGGACACCAGGAAGCAGATGGTGAACAGGGCCGCCACCACAGTGGCCATCAGGCACATCTTGATGATTCCCCTGCAGGCCAGATTCCACTTCTTGACCAAGTAGCCGCCGAGGAAGGTGCCACCACCACCCGCCGGAACCGTGATCAGACCCATTACCAGGGCCGAGTGCATGGGCGAAATGCTGAACTGGTTTTCGATCTGCTTGGGCAGGAATGCCGCGAATCCGGCTATCACCAGACCCTCAGTGGCCCCGGCCAGGTTCAGGAAAAAAAACGTGGGATTTCCCAGCAGTTTGAGTACCGCGCGGGGAAGTTGAGCCAGTCCGCGGGCCACTTCACCACTGGACCCCTCAGTCTCCGATATGGTTGCATGCGCCTCGGAAACCCTTTCCAGCTGCAGCTTTTCCGCCCCGGGTAGCAATTTCGGATAGCCGAAGATGGGCAGGGCTATTAGGAGGCACATGGCGGCTGCGAAAATGAAGCCCAGCCACCAGGCTCCAATCCACACCTTGCTGTCGCTGGTCAGGCTGAGTCTGCAAGGGGAAAGATTAGACTCAGATTAATTAATTTAACTCCCAAGCCAATATTATTAAATTTATTTTATAAAATCTCATACGTACATACTTATTTTTATCTAAAAGGTCTTGTTAAGATAGAATATCGGCGACACCACGCTAATTCTGTTTTGTACTTTAAAATGTATATTAATTCTTCTTTTGTTGGTTAGCTGAGTAACGGGTTTCTAATAGTCGAGCCATTCGACTATAGCGTTCTTTCACTTTAAATTCCTAAAATAAATAATCTGAACTGCTTTTCTACACCCAAAAAAATCGAAATGAAACGTAGATCGATTTTACATTATTTAAGATTAAGATTAAGATATGTAAAAGAAAATATTCTACTCTAAGGACAACTGAAATTATCAAGAAAACTAATAATTTTAAGGTGATTGCTTATTCTTCATTGCTTACACATAACCGGACTCAAAACCCTTATTTTCCGTAACTTTTATAATTTACTCTCTAAATTTTCCACTTTTCCGGCTTTTTAAATTAACTTGAATGGGAATTTATATTTTCCGCTGAATTTATCTTTTCAGCGGTGGCTACAAAAGGTCGCCAAAAGTATTTGTTTAGCCCTAACCACTCGTAAACATGTACAAAATCATAAACAAAATTTCCATGTTCTCGACATAATTTACGAAAGCGGGGGATGGGGGTTGGGGGTTGGGGGTTGAGCAGACAATATGACTTATGGCATCACCTTGACAATAAGCCATGCGGTTGTATCCGTGCGGATTCGGATGCAGATGGCTTGCCGCTCTGCTCTGGAATACGGCAGTCCTTGTGACTCCTTCCTCCTTGCCACCCACACCTGGGCGCCGAGAAGGTGAATCAAACAAATGCTCATTCTCATTCGCACCTTATTTCCTCGTTGTCAGCGGGAATGTTGTTTTATTACTCTCTGGAGATATTTACACGGCGAGGTGCTTTGTGGCATTTGCCGTTGCCGGGTAACAAATAAGCTCCGCAGCAGCCCCCGTTCCCTTCCCCGCCCTCATTCCTCCCTTTTCCCGCCCTTAAAGTCACCTGCTCTTTATCTCCATCAGCACTCACTCACTCATTCATCGTGGGGCACTAAGTCGCTCGATTAATAACAATCATAGCCAGCTTATAAGATGCACTTACTGGGCTGGGTCCACGCTCATCCAATCCGTGTAGATGAGCAGCAACTGTCCTCCGAAAACGTAGCCAATCGCAGGTCCAACGGTGGCCATTGTGTAGTAAATGCCTGCGAAAACAAACTTCTCAATTAAACTTCAATATTAACGGTTTAATTTGTCAACGAGTCATAGTTCAACTAAATATCATTATCAGACATTTGCAAGGAACAAGACTTCGATTGAGACCCTCGTTCCTACAGTGCGTTACAAAATGCTAAGTCGCTAAGAATACGGCTTGATTTGAAATAGAAAGTCCTTTAAAAATTTATGTTCTTAAAGTTAAACTAATGGTTTCTAAAAATGTATAATATAGATGTAATATACAACCAAATTTTTAAATAAATTTAAGTTCACTTTTTAAATATAATAATCAAAAATGAGTTATATTGAAATTTTGTATTACATGCTGACACTTTAAGGGCCGTTTTCTCGTCCGATGGTTAAATTTAAAGTAAGGTTAGAACCTTAAAATCGTATGGGAAATCAGAGTTTTAACCCTACTTTAAATTTAACAGGCGGACGAGAAAACGGGCCTAAACATTTCTTTTTTCTGAAATACAATACAATACAAAAAAGAATCATTTAACCCTTAAAACTTTATAAATAATGTTAAATCTTTAAATTTTCAATCTAAATAAATAAATTATACAAAATACGAGATCAACCTTTTAGAGGTTCTAGATTTTAATGCAGAATAATCTAAGATAGGAGTAGCCATTTTGCGGATGGTTCTTTTATTTATTTATCTTTGAAACGCACCGTGCAATCAGTTCCTTGAGCACCCCTCCAGCTCCAAATGGAGTGAAACTCCCAGGAAGAAGCGAATTTCAATTGTCTCAATGCCAGACAGCGATATCCAAAGAGGCAAAGAGGACGCTGGTCGGGTTTGATAATTTCACTGTCGTCTTTGGATGGCACGATAAACCTAACTAAGAGGCAATAAATTTCCGCTGCCGTCGGCTCTTCCTCAGACCCGCGTCTCAACTGAGTCAGCAACAATCTGGCTCTTTAAAATTGGGTCAACAGGGGTAAGGAAGTCGGCTGACACGAGACTCTAGACATGAGACCCAAACCAAACACCCGGGAGGATTTTCGGATCGCAAACAGTAAATAGTATTTGCTCCCTTTGTAGCCGACGTCGTTTGCCAATAAGGCGAATAAAAATAAATATTCATGTGTGAGAGCAACTAGCAGATACTTTGATATCTTTGATATCGTATAAGGACCACCAATACCGAACCCCCCTCGGAAAGTGTGGGTATTTGTGCATACTTCATTTGTTGTGCGACTGCGGCAGACAAAAGTTTTTGCGCGTCTTATCAACGGCTGCGTCGTTTGCAACTTACCCAAGTAAACAGATGACATCTTCTTTGAGACGTTCTCATCGATATAAGTGACGCCCAGGGTGAAGAGGGGCGAGGCTCCGGCTCCGTGGAGCAGTTGGGCGGCCAGGAAGAGCCAGACCGTCCAGGTTAGACTCTCGCCCTCCCCCCAGCCATTTAGCTCGCAGGCGCTCTGCAAGGATATGGTTGGAATTAATAGGTATCCGGTTGGTAATCTCCATGTCACCCCCCTTACCATTGCCTGGCTGGAGTTGGCCTGCAATCCCGATACCTCACACACATTCGCCTCGGCAATGGTGGCCCGGTATTTGCCCACCAGGAAGTTGGGCAGCAGAAAGACCAGCGATCCCAGGCCCATCACGATCAGTCCGATGGCAATGAAGCGCGGCTTGGAGGCTCCTCGTCGTCCGCCGTAATAGGTGACCGGAACCAGACACGCGAAGGAGGCCAGGTCATAGCCGCTGGCCACCAGACCCATCTGTCGGGAGCGGAGTCCAAAACGCCGCTCAATTGTGGAGATGGACACATTGATCAGACCGTTTACTATGAGACCTAAAAAGAAAGAAATTTCAAAATCATTTTATCCATAAATCACATTAAAGAATATATGAAAGCATAATCATAAAATCCGTTTTAAATTTAGCAGTAAAAACTGAATAAATAGTAAATAATTTACTAGTAAAGCCTATGCGATTTCTACTAAGAAAAGGCTACGTCTTACCTACCGTTCCTCCTCCTTCAAGTACCATCCCCCATTCCAGAGTCATAAACATGAAGTTTGGACTCCAGCGAGGACCGTCAACAGATTGTCATATAATATTTGACTTGGAAAAGAGTAGGAGAGGGCGGAAGATAGTCCTGCTGATAATGGAGGTGGTTGAGTTGACTTGAGTGCCATGGGGCGGGTCATAAATTAAATATCTGTACGACAAATTGATTTTGAGGGCTTAGGCGAATTTTCTATCGTAAATAAATATCTGTTAGTTCTGGGCCCGCCCTTAACAACCTACAAAGCCATTGTTGCTCACAATATTTCTTTTTTTCTACGACGAATTCAATTTATTTTTCAATAATCGCCCCAAAGAAGACCTCTCCTGGTCATCTTTGGTTGGAAAGGTGACAGAAAGCGGGGAGGAAAGTTTACAAGAGGAAGTTGGTGGGAGGCGACACTTACAAGTCATTTACCCCACTAAATGCAATAATTTAATAAATCCCGAAGAAACCTTGAGGCGGGGCATTTTATACTCTGGAGTGGGAGTAAGTGTGTGACCTTTGGCTGGAAGTATACAGTGAAGTACATAGACTGCATTGGATACGTGACAATCTATGATTTTGCATGTGCATCGATTGACTTACGTCCTGGCTGGGACATGTGGGGTTGATCAAAGATTTAAACATTTTCATAATTAGCAGTAAAGATTTTTCTAGCAAATTAGTTTAAAATGGAAATTTTAATTAATATTTTTTTTCAATAAATATTCAAATAAAGAAAAAAAAATTATATCCACACTTCCTTTAATCAACTAATTGATACCCTCCATATAAAATACATTAATAAGCCAACCTAAGAGAGTTTTGGCTCTTCTTATACTTAGGATCATCCTTCGAATCGAAATGCACACATGTTCAGAATCACTCCCATTTCTAATATGAGTTATTTGACTAGCTTACTCATTTCCATTGAATGAGGCCGTATTCAAAGCCATAAAAAACAACAATAAACCATTTGAACTGGATGCACGACGAGAGCAGAACGCGGCAATCCAAAATTGTTGCGGATGATTTATGTTAATGCCGTGTCAACTGATTAATATTTTCGGTCACGTGCCGCCCCATCCGCATCCGTAAGCCGAGCCACAGGCGGGCAGGCCAACTCTGTGTCACCCACATCCACATCCAACCGGAAGTGTTCCCACGTCGAGGGTCACTAGGCAGAGTAGCCTAGTGCAACAGATGCCAGCAGGCCATTCGAGCTGCAAGAACTGCATGATTCAGTTTGCTTACAGCACACGGCCAAGGCATAAATACTGGACATTGATAAACATCCTGCAGGAGGTGTTCGCGTGAGTCACTCCCTCAAAGATCGTGGCCAAACCCAAGCAATTAAATACTTTAAATCCTTTTTTGTTTATTTTTGTATTAACCTACCGTGGGCTCTACACTTTTGGTCTCATTTGTGCCCTGAAAATTTGAGTTTTCATTTTATGAAACTTTTTGATAATTAACTTTTTGAATTGAATCTGTGGAAAAATCCAAATCCAAAATCCAAGGCATATTATTTACATACATTTTAATTTTATGTATCGTTCGTTAAAATAAAAAAATAATTAAACATGTAAAGAGTCTGTTAAAAGTAAAATTGAAGAAAATTATTTTTATGAAACTACTCCATTTATTTTTACTAATTTGATATGGAGGCTCAATATATTTTGTTAAACTTATACCAAAACAATTAATAATATTTTTTTAACTTTATTGCACTTTTGTTGGGATTGTGATTATCTATATTCCAGAAATTTTAAAACCTTTTTTAAAAAGTAGATGTTTTGTAATAAACAAAAGAAATGATAATTTTAACAGTTTTAAGCACAAAATTAAGTTTTTCATCACGTTTGCATCTTCGCTGGCAGCCATCCAAAAATGCTAAATCTGGCCTCCATCCAGCGAGTGCATTTCTGCACATTTTTGCATCCAATCTCTGGAACACAGCCTAATCCCCCGGAAATGCATAAACGTGTCGTCAGCTTTCGTGAAATTGGCGAATTTTAATTAACCGCTTGAACCCATTAGGAGTGGGAAACTAAAGCTGAAACTGAGCCGTAGCCATGGGCACCGGCACCAGTTCGGATCAGCCGGGGGATCTAAAGTTGGGTAAACAACGATTAACATTGTTTTGATTTATGCCGCTGCCCTCTCGCCCCTTCGGATTCCGGAGTAACCTAAAGCCTATGACAACGTCAAGAGGTTCGGGGCCTCAAACACCCACTCAAAACCCCTCGGATATCGCAGGCAAAACTGGGCCCATTTACACTTCAACGGGCCTTTCAAACTATTCAAAGTGCGGTGATTTTTTGAGGTTAATGCATCCTCGGGCTAGAGCATCATCAGCTCCCTCGGCTGCTCCGGGCAGATATTAATTTTTAATTCACTTCTATTCACAGAAACTCCAGCCGGGGACCCCACCTTCTTCCCAGCTCCTTGGTCGAATTCTTATCTGTTGCACACAGTCCTGCTGGCCGAGGCTGGGAATGCCCAGGATGCTAATGAAGCGATGCGGATGTGGATGTCCTCATCGCCTGCGCCTTTGCATTGTCTTAGCCAACTCGAGACTTCTGGGATACAGGCTCGCTAAAAGTTTGCTTGGCAAAAGTTTGTCTTGTAATCAAGAAAAATATGGCCATGTTGATTCAATATTTTGTAGAAACAAAAGGTGGACAGAAGTGTTTTTTAAGCCTTAAGCCGCAGCAAAATTTACATGGTTGGAAAAGGAAATTCAGTTTTTTTCTATGTCTAAAGTTCGGGTAATTACAGGCAATAATAAAACATAACATGTAAATTTAAAAAGAGTCACAAATCCTTTTAATTATAAAATTATAACTTACTCACTTTTCCAAATATCACCAGTTAACAAAATTAAATCATCCTCTTAATTCGTAAAACAAATTTCGGTTTTTGGGCGTGTATTTTTAAAGAAGCCACTTATGCCAGAGCTTTAGCATTTTTTCAAATTTTTTAACTTTGACAAGGTGTAGCTTCTAAACTGGAACTAAAACGGCATTATATTCCTGTAAAATTTACATCATACAAAAAATTGGAAGAGCCCATTTCTTAATCATGGAGATGAACTTTACTTTAAACCAAGGTTGCCTTCGAGTAGGAATAAGTCGATTTGATTTTGTAAACTGGTATATTTAATACTTGCTTTTAAGCGTCAACAGTTTCAGAGTTTTCAAAGGTTAAGATTTATATTATTTTGGCTTGAACTAAAACTTTAGTAGATATCAAAGATATTTCCTTGTGAACGGTCGACCGGACACTAAAAACTATTTTGGTGAAAACCCTTACACCAATCACATAAATTCATCGATCGTAGGAAAGGCAAAAAAGGGACTCTAAAAAAGTTTAATGTTTTGAAAACTACATTTATATTCCTTACTAAATATGCAAAAAAAATATATTTGTAATTAAATAAAACGAAAAAAATTAATTTGTATTTAAAATTGCATCAAAGCTCAAGTCTTTTGAATTCGTTAAATAAAAAAAAGAAAGTCCTATATCACTCTCACATATTACTACTATTTCGACTCACTGGCAAATAGAGGTGTAATTTGTTGATTTGTATAATCATTAAAAATGTATATTACTAAAAAATAATAATATTGAGTGTCCCAAAACAAAAAAGTATAATATCGAAATAATTTACTCCATGCAATGTAATTTTCGACTGCCTTAACCAAGAAGCAGCCCACGAAATTCAAGCAAAAAATAAGCGTAGGCGGAAAATTCGCGCGACGAACCATTTAACGGAATTAAGGAAGTATATAATCAGGGCAAGAGAATATCACCTTGAAGAGCACCGCCCCAGCAGAGCCAAAAAAGAGCCCACTTTGCGGTGCAGAAGCGCTGGAGCCACGCCGGATTCCAACCGCACCATCCGAATCGCTGGGTATCCGCATCCGAGTTTGCTCCCGAGGATGCACTTCCAACCCTACTGGAGCGGGCACTATTGTTATTGTTCACATTGGCGCACTTGGGTGCCACGGCAGTGTTCGAGTCCAGCTCAATATTTGCCTCAGACATGGTTTCACTTTCTTGTTCCGCACTATAATCACCGATTTAAATGCCACTGCGATCCGCACCGAGCAAAGGCCGGAAACTGACTGAGCTCAGATATTCAAAACGCCGCAGACAGAAGCTCAGACCGACTTTTCTGTTAAGGACTCGTCGCTAACAGGGCTCTGTTGAAGGAAACCAACCCTGCTATGCTGCCTCCCACCCACTCGGAACATCTCGGATTCATGAATGAAATCTTTTCGCCCCCACTCTCATTCAGTTCCTCTTATTTTACGGGCTGCACATATCAACAGTTGTCATGACGCTGCTTTCGTTATTATCTTGGGGTTCGTGTGGCAAAGTGGGGACAGGCGGGAAAAAAAACCGTTTTATTCAGATGAAAATGATAATTTTATTCTCTTTGGAAAATATTTAAACAGCACTTGCCTGATAAGTTGATATTTGCTTAAAACACACTACATGTAATTAGCGTACGCTTATTTGAACGGCAAATCTAATCGAACTTCATAGCCCTCAGACGATTTTTCAACTACCTTCCATTTAATATTATTTTTCCTTATAGCTTTGAAATTTTAGCTCTAAAATTGGATCCCCTTAACTACAAAGTCCAGTAAAAAGCATTTATAATTTCATTACAACTTTCATGTTTATTCAATAAATTTTTCGGTTTAGTAGGTTTTTTTTTTCTAATTTATAAACTTAAATTATGAAAAATAGGTAATAAACTTGCCAATGTTAAACAAAATCTTAGCTATCGACAAAAACAAATTTAGCTTCAAATGTGTGAACAAATTATTTAATGGATTTGGTGGTGAATTTTGTTTGCCGAAAACAGGGATCTAGAGTAAGGCAAAATCTTAGCGATTGATAAGCACCAGAAATATCTTTTCTACTTGTAAATTAAGTACGATAAATTTTTAAGTAATTCCACTTAACTCAAGAAGATATATTTTCGATTGGTACATTTTGGAAAATATTTGAAAGATTGGTTTGCTTTTGACTACTTAAATACGTACATAATATATAAAGATATACACATATCCATATAGTTACATTTAAAGTTTTAAACAATAAAATAGTAAACAAAAACAAAAATCGTTAACAAAGAAAAAAAATCGGAATTCGGGGTAGCTTCGTCTAGAGACTCCCCATTCCCTAATAGAGAGTACACACGCGGTATTTACAAGATCTTCCATGAATCAAAATATGTTTACATGTTATTATATATATATTTGTATGTGTGTGTTGTATTTTAATTTTATCTATAACGTTTGAGTAGGCCCATTAAGGGCTGACATTTTAAAAAGTTGCATAGTCTTACTAAAGCTGTTCTGGGGATCTGTCTCAGTTGATGCGGGGGGAGGATGGCTTGAGTAACTTTACTAAGAGCAAATGTGTGTTTTGAATGTACACCATGTACTTAACTCATGATTTGGTTATATTGATACACGTACAGTGAACGCTTTGGGCACTACGACAAATATCACATAATGAGATCAATTGGATTTATTTTGGGTACTTTTTGTTTTCGTTTGCGCTTCATTTCCGTTGTTAGATTGGGTTGTAAATAAGAATGTACGATTAATTGCACAATGTCATTCAACTTAAGATTGTCTACTGGATTGGGCTTGACTGGTGGGCTAATTACATAATTAGTGGCAATCCATAAGCTGATTAAGTACCTAATTTAAGTATGTATTTGATTTGAAAGTTGTTCCAATTCATAATACTGGGGCTGAACTGTTCCAGTTTGCACTTAATTTGAGTTGTTAGCGAGTTGAGAAAGGGGAGGTGGAACGAATAAAAATAAAGAATTGCACTCCATATGCATGGGTGAAAAGTAATCCTATTGCGGGACGATATCCCTAATTAAGTTGTAACAATAGTGCTCCTCGTATAGTTAATATTAACTTAAGTATGTATAACAATGTGTTTCCGGTGGCTTTGCAGGTTCTGATTATTGGTCATTTTTTTAGAATTCATTTGAATTGGTAAGTACAAATGTTCCATGTAAATTCCACACGATCTTCGCTCTTTATATTTATGCAACTTTTTAAAAGTCAGCTATTAATGGCCAACACTTAGCCAAATAGTGTTTTCATAGGTTTGTGTGGTTTATATTAGATGTGTGTACATTTGAAATGTTTTTATATTTTACATTCATTAAAGTATATCCATTTTTGGGTCAGTACTCACTTCAGAAAAGCTGTCGCTAAATTAAAAATTTCAACTTTTGAAACTTTTCAAATGGATTCATTTCGAAACCAGCGCTTCTTGAAGTGAATATTGAGCATTTTTTGCATTTCTTATGCCGTATTTATAATTAAAATATATTTATATTTTCTTTTGTTATAAAACTTAAAATGAATTTAACCAAAAATAAAACAAAGTTAGTAATAACTTGTGTACTTCATCGTATTTGTTTTTGGGGTTGTGGGTAACCCAAACTTTCTTTATCATCCTTGACCTCGTAACCATTTTTCAAGGCGGGTGGGGTACAGTACAAAGGAGAGCCATGGGAATGCTGGGTGGGTGTTGGTTTTAGTCGTTTGAGTTGTGTTTTCCTTTCTTTTCCGATTAGATTAATTTCCATATATTTACGCACTATAACATTGCATTTGGCCTTGGCTCTTTTTAAACGACACTCGAAGATGCTTCTTCCTGCTCTTGCTGTTTATCCTCTGGCAAGTGGCAATCGGCTACCTCGCTGTGCATCACGATCTCTATGTCGCCCAGTTCGGTGGCTGCCTCCGCCTTTAGCGCCACATCCTCTGCCCTCGATAGTTTCTGTAGCGTGTGAAGTGTTTCCTCGTTAATCGTGTGCTCTGGCGAAATGTTCTCCTTCAGCTGACGCTTAAGGCTGAGCGGAATGTGAGCCGTATTGCACTCCGGCGGGGATGGCGACTCCGTGCTGCTGGAAGCCGACGTCCCTGTACTCAACTCGTGTTGACCAGCTGCCGCCTGTTCACCGCTGTTGTTGAAGGAGATGTTCTGGCGAAAGACTTGCTTGCTGAAGTCCCGCAACTGTCTGGAGGCTGTGTCGAGAAAGGATGAACTGCCCGTGTCCGTGTGGGAGGACGCATTTTGGCTGGCGTTGGAGATGTTGCTGCCGGTCAGCGAGGTCCACGATGCGGGCGAAGATTTTCGCGCAACCGATAGAATAGGATTAGGTGTGGTGCTACTGGACTCGCCTCCGCTTGCTCCTCCTACGGCGCTTGCTGCTGTGGTGTCTGTCAAAGCAAAGATGAAAGGTATTACAGCTATTGTTATTATCAATTTATGTTAAAAAAACTGTTAAAAAAATATTGTGATTGCTTTATGTTATGTTAAGTTTTGATATAAATTAGCCCAGTCATATGTGTATAATGTATATATTAATCAAATAAAGAAGAACTAACTCTGTGCGCTGTTTGTGATCGGGTTGCTAACGGGCACGCTGCTTATTTGACTGGCCTTGGGTTCCGGCGATGAGCTTCGATTGAAAATGGTGCCCGTGTTAAACAATGTGAGCAGCTTGTCCACCGCCGATGGATTGGCTATCCAAGAAGTTTTCCGGGCACGGTTCTGTGGAACGCTGCTGACGGGCTCGGCAGGCGGCACGAGTTCTTGTTCGGATTCCAAAACTGGATTCATGCTGCTCGCCGCAGCAGCAGCAGCAGAGAGAGCGACCACACCGGCCGATTCCTTGGTCAACGTAATGTCGTTATCGCCAAAAACGGCCAGGGGACAGGACCTGGGTGGCGCTTCTGGGCAGGAGGCCACAGAGTCTGTAGCATCTGTGGATGTTGAGGTGCTTCCATTGCTATTGCTACTGCTCCCGCTGCTGGTGCTGCTGCTGCCGGGCGAAGTTGAGCTCGAATGACTTGAGGTGGGTGATATGGTCAAGTGCGGCGAAAGCTTTTGCCCGGCGGCCTCTTCGAGTTTTGTACTCTTATGTGCGTCGGCATCATCGCTGGCCTCCACTATAACCATACTGCTTACTGGCACCGCAGCAGCTGCTGCCTCCACTGCCTCGGACAGCAGCACTGCCTTCCTGGCCGATTTCAGCATGGGAGTGGGTGGCAGGTCGATTGGCGGCGTATGCGGCGTAATCGGCGGCATCTTTCGATTGGCCATCGGCACCTGGGGATCCTCGTAGATGCGGGATACATGAAAGCGAGACCTGGGCGATACCGACAGCCGCTTGATCGTCTGCGTCGAGGAGGTAACAGATGCCATGGCGGGCAGAGAACTGGAGGTGGGCAGGGCTCCAACTGCATTGAGGCTGCTCTGGCTGCCGCTGGGCGAGCCGATGGTGGGTATGGACATGCAGCTGCTGGCCGAGCGCGGCGTGTGCGGCGGTGGATGCTGGGCCAGCGGCGAGATCAGTGGACTGGCCACTTCGGCCACGCGGGAGACGTGAAAGCGGCTGCGGTTCGGCGAGGACGACGGCGATATGGTGGGCGGACTGGGGCCCGGCGAGCGGAGACGCGGTCCACTCTTCCGCTTCACCTCCAGCAGGGCAGCAGGTGTGGGCAGGGCGGTTGCTGCAGCGGTCGCGGTCGACGTTGCACTCACCGTGCCAGTGGCAGCGTCCACAAATGGCCGACTGTGGCAGGTCAACGAGATCTTCCGCGAGCCCAAGTAGTAACCGCCGCGACACCGAATGCCCGGAAGACTGCCGCCAACACTGCTGCCGCCGCCGACCACATTCGCCGCCTTCTCCGCCAGCTCCTGAGCCTGCCGCTTCTCATTTCGGGAGCACAGGGAGCGAACAGTGCCCAGCACCCTTGTGTAGTCCAAGTGGGCATCGCTGCCGATCTGAAATCAGAACAAGAAGAATTTCAATCACTCAGTATCAGTAATTTACAGACAGTATTTTAATTAATAAAAAGCTTTAGTTGTGGAATTGCTCAGTTCGATACAGCAGGTAATTATTTGATATAGATATTTTTTATGAAATACTGGTATAACTGAGCAACTGAACAACTGATTTGGTTTGTTATAGTGAACGAATCAGTCAAGCAGCTAGAGTGAAAAGTTAGATCGGGTTTAGGCTGCAGAAGTTAGCATTATTATCGGATGCAAGCCAAGCTTTGTCAGTGGACAGCAGTGGGCACAAAAGGCAGTGGGCAGAGAGTTGGAGGAGCAAATTGAGTGGGGGTTTACTTACGCTCTCCTGGGGCAATGGCGATGGCGGTATAACATTTACTATCGGCACTATGGGCAACTTTAACGGAGATGAGAGAGGCAACGACAACAGTGACCACAAATGAAAACGATTCAATTAAAAATTCAAAATCAAAACTCTCAACGTCCAACACAGCCATCCAGAACCAAGCTCAAAATCGCAATAAGTCATGGTATCAAGGGTGTTAGCTACGGCAAGCCGCAGCTTCGTATACTCTTGGTAACGTGATACTTCTTTGGTTTAGTGTTATTTAATGGGAATGTATAGTAGAGCCCTGCGTGATTCATTCAATTTTTGATTTATCATAGTATGCCATGAAATTTCTGATTTGTTTAATTCAATTCTATGTGAAATAAATTGAATGTTTTTCTAATTCATTTTGAATTGAATGAATTAATAAATAATTTTTATAAATTTTTTTAATCTGCCAGATTTTTTTAATTTTATTAAACTCAAAATTCAAATTCATTCAATTCTATTAAACTGAAAATTCTAATTAATTTATTCATATAAAACCAAATATTTAATATAGTTCATTGAATCCATTCATGCAGGGCTCTAATGAACAGTCTTAATAAGTACTGCTATAATTAAATAAAATATTTTCCAGTTCTCCTTACCAAGGGTATATATTAAAAACTTAAAAAATTGTGTGTTTCCACAACAACATAAATTCTAATTTACTTTCAACTCCCATTCGCTTAATAATACAAACTCAACTTCTACTGTGGCCTCGGATGAGATTTTTCGACTCTTGATGGGCAATGGGCGTGGCATAGACTTAATCCTGGGGCTGGATTACTTACCGTCAGGCGCTTGGGCTCATCGTTGATGTCGATCTGCGTGAGCGTTTTATTGGACTTGAGCACCTCGGCGATTATATTCAGACTTTCCACCTCTAGTTTATTGTCTCGGATGTCGATGCGCTGGAGCTTGCTGTTGCCACCAAAGGTGAGGATGGAGGCCAGCGTCTCGATCCCCTTGGCGCTCAGATGGGCACTCTGAAGCCCCAGTGTAGTCAGTGTTGTGTTCTTCGTCAGACTATCCTTAATGGTTGAGATAAACTCGTTGGAGAGACAATTCTTGCCAATGTTGAGCAGTTCCAGCGAAATGGTCTTTTGCAGCAGCTCAGCCACAGCTGTGGCGCAGTCCTTGGTCAGGTTATTGTTCCATAGGGTGAGAGCCTTCAGCCCGCTGGGCGATCGATTGGCCTCCAGCGTGGCCTCGGCCAGCTGGCGACGCGAAAGTGTGTCGTTCTTGGTCAGCTTCTCGGCGAACTTGGGATCGGCGGCGGAGGCGTTTGAGCTGACACTGTTGTTGCTAGCCCCGCTGCTGCTCATCCCGTCCAGCGATGTCTCGCTGCACAGGCTGTCGGAGCTCTGGGAACGGTTGCGGGTGGATTGATTGAGGTACGCACAGCTGGACTCTGTACGTCGCAGGCCAATGCTTGCGCCCCCCGGAGAGGTGGACGGCGGTGGGGGCGTGGGCGCCGGACTGGGCGAGGAGAAAGGACTGGGGCTCAGTTCTTTATCCGCCAGCAGGCACTCCTCGGAGATGGTTACTTTGGGCGGCGGCAAGGCATCGAGCGCGGGCGTAGGAGTGGGCGTCGCAGCCTCCTGTGCGGCCAGCAGACACTCGGTGGATTCTGTGGCTATAGTGGCGGTCTCAATGCCACTCATCTCCTTGGCCATGTCATCCAGCCGCGTGCTCTCCAGTGACACCGAAAGCCGGCTAAACTCGTCGGGCAGATGACGACTTATGTCGCCTTCGGAGGCGCTCTCGAATGCCGAGTCCGTGCTGTGCGTGTCCTCGTAGTCGTCGGCCACCTTTGCGTTTTTATTGACGTCCAGCGGCCGCGATCCACCAGCCGCCGCTCCACTGCCATTGATGCAGTCGCTCTCCTCGGCGGTGACTTCAAAAATCGCCGCTGGCGAGGAACCGCTTGGACTGCTGCCGATATCCAGTGGCGGCGCAACCACTGCTAAGGTGGCTGTTGCTCCTGCTCCTCCTAGTGGCAATTGGATTGTATTATTGTTGTTGTGGGAATTGTTAGCATTGTTATTGTTGTTGTTGTTGATGATGTTGTTCTGTACACAGGATTCATTGGGTTCAACGGGTTTAGCCTCTGTTGAGGGAGTAATATCTGCAAGGGAATCAAATGTAGCAACCATTTTGATGAGACAAATGACAAAGTTACTTACCACATAAGTTGCGTTCGTTTTGGGAACATTGCTGTTGTTGCTGTTGCGACGGAGACAGCGGCTCCTCGGTCGCAGCTGCAACAGCGACCGATTCGAATTCCATCGGGCTGGATGAGATCATAGCCGAACAGGCTTCTTTATCTCCTAGTGGCACCTGCTTAGCTGCGGTGGGTTCATAAATCTCGTTGCTGATCTCGCTGATGTCCTCGGAGCAGCAGGCGGCCAGAGTGTCGGTGGATATGTTTGAGGGCGCCTCCTCGCTGCTGCTGTCGCTGTTCATGGAGAGCAGCTTGTCCAGCATTGACTGTCCGCTGCCGTTTTGGCTGCAGTTTCTCACGGTGCGAACAGTGTCCTCGGTGTTCTCGTCGTCATTATCATTGTCTAGGTCAACAAGGACACCAACCGCTGGATCGGTTGATGCTGCCTCCTCCGCAGGAGTCTCGGGAATCGAGCTTACGTGCGAAGATGACTCACCGTCGACAATATCTTTCGCTTGGCCGATGACCGAGTTGGCGGACTGAGGGATGACTGCCGGTTGCTCAGTCTCCACCGGCGACACGCACTCGTCCACCTCAATGGCACGGGTGCGCTTCAAGGCTCCCATTCGCCGCTCCAGCTCGGTAGACTGAAGGATGAGGGCCTGCACCAAGTACATGACGCCCTCGTTTCTTATATTATTGTTGCTAATGTCGATGAGCTCCAAGCTGTGGTTGTAGCGCAACATATCGGCTATGTGCTGGGCATCCACACAGTCCAGGTCGTTGAAGCCCACCCACAGCTCCTTGAGCATTTTGTTTTGGTAAAGACCTCGGCCTGCAAATGATACTAAAATATAATAAATGCAATTTAGCAAACAGCCAACTAGTGATTTCATCCAATGGACTCTGAGATCATAATGAGGAATCGTTTTGAAGATGATCACTGAACCCTAATCAGGTCGTCGGTCGACTTACAGAGATGGACGAGGGGTTGTCCCCTGAGGCCGCAGTGCTCTAGCTTCAGTGTGTGCAGATTGGACGAGCCCAGTGCCCTACCGAGACTGTCGGCGCCCAACTTTGTGATCTGATTACTCTCGGCATTGAGCAGCTGCAGCTCTTGGCTCCGTTCCACCATGTAAGCACACAGCTCCCAGCATCGCTTCGTCATCTGCTCCTTGTTGTATGATATGTCCAGCTCGTTAGCAGCTTCGTAGTATTCGATCATCTGGAAGAGGGCCATCAAGCAGCTCTCGTCTAGCGTACAGTCGGACAGATCGATGCATTTGTATTGTATCTACAGGGTAAAATTGGAACATTAGTAATCGGAGTCTGGAAAGGGAGTTTCGAACTCACTGCTTACCCTTTTGAAAATTTCCTCGAGGGCCTCGCAATCGTTGGCGACTAGTTGATTCGCCTTTAGGGGGAGTAGAGGCTGCCGCACCTGGTTCAGATCCAGATTCTTTAGGTGATCCATTACACTCTTCAATGGCTCTCTGTTATGCTTTTTACACGACTGCACATACTGGTCAACAATCTCGGAAATGCTCTTCACGAGGCATACTGCAAGAGATAAATGGAAAAAAGTTATACTAAAAATGTAAAACCCAAAAGGCGTAACAAACTAGACTGAAGAAATTTTAAAATAAACCATCTCATTATTTCTAAAACCTATTCTTCACTTTTTTTTAATATTAGGGGAAAAACAGGTCAAAACAAGAGAGAACGCTATAGTCGGGTTGGTATCCCGACTATCTAATACCCGTCACTCGGCTAAAGGGAGTGCGGGGGAGATGGATATATAAAATTTTTTTGATTGCGCATAACTTTTTATTGAATGGTCCGATTTGAAAAATGACTTCTACATTTCAATAGGTATAAATATACACAACAAAATTGCATTTATACTTCTCGGAAATCTTTAAGGATGTGGGCGCAGGACACATTTAAAAATCGTTGGTGGGCGATTGTGGGCGTTAGAGGGGGCGTGGCGCTCGGCTGAAATAAGAATATGTGTGGAAAATCTTAACCTTCTAGCTTTTGTAGTTTCCGAGATCTCGGCGTTCATACGGACGGACAGACGGACGGACATGGCTAGATCGACTCGGCTAGTGACCCTGATCAAGAATATATATACTTTATGGGGTCGGAAACGCTTCCTTCTCCCTGTTACATACTTTTGCACGAATACAATATACCCTTTTAATCTACGAGTAACAGGTATAAATTAGAGACCTGCACGATACGATGCCGATGCCGATTCCACGAGTAAAAGTAATCAAGTTGGCGATGCCACGATTATTTTTTGTAATCATGTAATCGTATACTCGGCATCGTAGAATCGTACGAGTAGGTAGCATCGCCAACAAATTTCAAATTTGACATTTAAAAATAAATTTCAATAAAATTTGCTCTTCTTCTAAAGAATTCGCGGGTACATTTTTTTAGAATTCGTGAATAGAAAAACCACAGTTAAAGACAACAAATCCTTTTTTTTTTTTTTTTTTTTTTTTATATAGCATATGTTTATTTATAGCGTTGATCAACCAACTTAATGGTTATAAAACGCATAATTTAGAACATAGAAACAAATAACTGGAAACATAACATGAGTGTGGAAAGAACAATTTTATAACATTGACAGTTCTACATTACTGTCTCAGGACGCGGGTTTGATGGCGTCCTCTTGTCCAGAGATCACCAGGGTGACAACAAATCCAGTCGAGTTTTTGACATGGTCCTTTATTGGTTCTTCTTCTTCCAAAGAATTCGCGGTCTCATTTTGGTTAAGATTTCGTGTATGTCGGGTTTAAAGACGGTAAACATAAACAAAAATTTTCTTGTTCCAAAGAATTTGCGGTCTCATATTGTCAAAGAGTTAATCTATGGTTTTAAGTAGATAGGACTAACAATTGTGAAATCTTGGGTATATTGGTTCCTCTTGTTCTGACAAGAATTTTGGTTGATTTTGTTTAATAAAAAAACACGAGTCAGATATGAGTAAAACGATGCCGATGCCTACGATTCTACGATGCTACGATTCCAGATTTGACAGTTGGAATCGGCATCGCCGAGTAGTAATCGAGTATATTTTTACTTACTCGTGCAGGTCTCTAGTATAAATAGTAAAAGAGGCAGAATAGTTTGTGGCCCTAGCGGCCAAACGGTGAATGTGAAGTACAAAATAAATAAATAAATATTGGTAACACTAGTGATTATATTAGATACTTAACCCGCAAAGCAACATGTAAACTTTGAAAGTACGTAATTTTAATCAATTAAAACTCTAAACATATCCCCAATTAGGCTTATCTTCAAGAATATATGGATCGATCGGAATTCAACAATAAATGAAGCAGTCGAGTCAATAAACTATTGCCAATTCTTTCGTTCGGACATATCAAGTGTCGCCATTTCAAAAGGCAACAAATATGTCTGGCACAAAATATTTTATATGACAAATAACTATAACTTATGGCGCGTGCGAGTGTTTGGTTCCCTACCCTGAACCTCATCACCCACTTCCAGCGTCCTCATCATGATCGCCAACAATTGCCGGCGTCGGCATCAAACACATGGAGCGACATAGACAAATTGTCCACACAAAAAAAAAAATAAATGAAATTGCGGCGGCAATTTCCAAACGATTTGCTTTTTTCCAGAGGGGTTGGTTGGCCTGAAATCGTGAACTTGTAATTTGCAACTCATTTGCGTTGGACACATCTTGTGTGCCGTCTATCATTGGTGGAACCAAATTTAGAAACGGCAGCGTCTATTATTTGACGACAGCTCATAGCTAACAACAGGAACTATTATAAAGAGCTTTTGATGTGCTCAGCTCACAAAATATGATAAATATATGGGTCGCCAAAGATTTAATTAATGAAAATTCACCGGAATTCTTGGTTACTATGGTGTATTTGGACTGCAAATTCACTACAATCTAGAGAATGAACATTGTGCCAAATGCCAAGTGCACCTTTCTTATAAATAGTTGGCAACAGACAAGCGCTCACCTCCACCCAGACAAACATAGGTTCTTATGAAAAACGTAAACAATTTAATCTATCATTGCATTATCTCGCCACATCGGTGTTAGAAGGCAATTAAACGATTCGTTTTAGATCTGCCAGAAACTCGGATGCCAACATCTATGCAATAAAAAGAGAAAAACGAAATTTTGTCAAGAAATCTTTTCAACGATTCCGAAAGATTTTCAGTCTTGGCAAACATTCAAAAGTGCTTTAGTTCTATTTCATCTATAATAGTTCCGTCCTCCTCCGCCATTCCGAGGCTGCCTTGAAACCCAACATCTGTTAAGTGATTCATTAGCGTTGAGTAGAATAATTCAAAATCTGAATTATTACGAATTTTCACTCGACCAGGCAGACAATGTGACGACCAAGTTTTTGACGTTTCTCTTTGAATTTTTTTTCTTAATTTATTTATAAATAAAAATGATTTAAACCAATCAAATTAGTATTTGACACTTGAGTTTATGGGTCAACAACTGTTAGTGAGAAGGCGAGGAAATAAGTAAAATATAAACACGGAAAATACAAAGTAGTTTGGGGCTTCCACCGAGAATCAGTCAATCATACACAATTTTCAAAGTAAATAAACGGATGCGTAACAGAATAAACACAATGCTCTATAAAATATTTACTATTATAAGGAAATAATAATTAATTGTTGTTTAAATATTAAAACCTATTTAAATTTAATTATAATTCCATACTTATATTAAATTGAAAAACTATTATTTGTTTGGGCTATAATACAAATACAACAAATATTTTTTTTGATATTCATAGATCATTAAAGATTTCACATAAATATTTATCAAGCAAAAAAGAAATAGTTCTTTGACCAATTAATGAATATATTAAAAGATTGTTATGCAAACACTTCCGATTATTTGCGATCTATTTTTGATCGTTACGTTGGGCAACGAAAAATTATAAACAAAAACAGGCCAAGCCCACCTGAGAATTTTATGCAAAAATTTCCTAAATAAAGCTAATTTGTCATCATCAACTATTTGCTCGCTTTTTGGTAGACGTCTACCATAAGTTATTGACAGAGATAGCGTGAATAAAGGTAAATAAAATTCATTGGCTTTTAAGAGTGACAAAACTCCTTATGATCGATAGTCGAAAATGGGAATTACGAATCCCTTGGATTAGAGTATGTTTGTCGATTTGCTGCTATCGATCGCATAGATAAATGACTAAGCCAACACAAACATTGTAGAATAGCGTGCCGCCGCCTGCCTGCGTCTATTAAATGCCTTCTCAATTTTTTATTATTCTATTGATTTTTGTTCCTATTTCGCCGCTGTTGCTGACGTTGCCGATTCTCACAAAAGTCAAAGCAAAAGTCGAATGTACAAATACAGAAAAACTATAAGTTAGCGAAAAGCACTCATAAGAGAAACGGAAAAATTGTCCAATTAAATTGCTGTTAATTTAGTGCTAAACATTTACAATGTCGGAAACTTGTTCTCGCCGCTATGTCATTAATTTTATGATTGCATTTTGGTTTATTTTGAGTTGGCAACACATAATAGAAGTAAGCTTAAAAGATACCGAAATCGACTTATTATTAAATCCTTAGATACCTATAGTGGTGACAATTTTTTAATTAGAGCCCAAGCTTACTTCGTTATTATATTTCATATTATTTTATTTATTATAATTTATAATATTGCCGACTTACAAACATTGCACTTTATATTTGTTTGAAGTATTGATCTTTAAATACATACATATTTGTATCTACTAGCTTTAAGTACCAGAATATTAACTTATTCTACTGGGCCTCAAAAACTCTTCGAAATCAATTTTACAGAAAGGGAATTGAGTGTGAGCCTCAGTGAATGTTATTCCATTAAACCTGTTTTCTGTTATCTGAATTTTGATATCAACCTGCTGCCTTTGACTTGAATTGACAAATTGACTGCCTGACCGCCGGTCGTTTGTCATTATCGGGTACCAATTCTCAGCCAAAAGTAGACGAAGGGTTTTTTGACAAAGATAAGCGTCTCAAAAGCTCCAGCCAGATAAATAAAAAAAATAAATAAACCTCCTCAAATCAGCCATAAACACGCACCGAAAGTGTAAATAAGTGTGTGAGGCGGGAGCCAGTTTCATTTTAACTAAATGCAAACATTTGCTTTATTTACGAAAAAGCTTACTCATATTTGCTTGTCTTTGTCCGTCGATTCCGTCTGTCCGCCTGCGTTCTTAATTTTCTTTATACACTTTTTAGCTTTCATTGTGCTTTGCTTTGTTTTTGAATTGCATAAATTAATTACATCGCCAATGTACACTAATCGAGCTCGTGACATTTTGCACAGCAATTGATATTCTAGTTATTATCGCTCATGTCATTGACTGTTTGATTAAAATTGCTTGCAAGTGAATGTAAGTTCGGAAACCAATAAAATGAAGTCCAAACATTTTAATTTGATATTATTTAATTATTAATGCAATGTAAGCTTTGTAAAGTTGTTGAACTAAAATCTCAAACGTTATAATGTTAATGTTATTGAATAACTAAGGTTTTAATCAATCAATTTTCTTTAACCAACAGTATATATGTACATATATAAACGATTGGATGTTATAGAAATATGTACCTTAATTCAAGACTTTTGCCATTTAAGATGTCGATTTTGCTTTTAGCCAAGTTTTATAAAAATGGAAAATACATTAGAGATAAAACTAGTACTATTAGTAGATAGTACTCAGCAATACAATATTCTGGCCTAATTTAGGTCGCGGTTCGAGGTTATTTACTGGGATTGGACCTTCTACAGATAAACCAGGGAAGTGCACGGAATTCCTATTTGCACAATTGTACAATGCTGTAGCTATCATTTCCATTTTTTCCCTGCCAGAACGTCTGTCTGTCATAATGTCTCCTCTGTGGGATTCTCTTTTAGTGCTTTTGTTTTAGTGACAACGATGACATCACATAGTTTCTACACCCACAACGTGAAAAAAGAGCAACAAATACAAATACAAGTGCAAACACAAAGACACAAACAAAGGCAAGAAAGGAATCGAAGTAAACAAACAAATGTAAAAGAAGACAAATAAAAATACACAATTTACATATGTACATGTCACCTACCCAGAGGTAAATAATAATGGAGACACCTAATGGCGACGACTATCAGATACCCATTACTCGGTTGACCAATTTTGAAGTAAATTTATTTATTTTCCTGCGAAATTTTTGAAATATTGAAAACTTAACTTCTTAATCTCTTCTAAAAAATGGTCTGAGTTTAATCTTCTGTTTTTAGAATTTATAGAATTGGAAATGTTTTCTGCGATCTGTAATTTATATTTTACAGAATTCAATAAGATAATTCAGAATTCAATTCGATAATTCCATAAGATCTAGAAGTAACTGGTATAAAAACAAAAACGGCGCAATCGTTTAAACAAATTCGGGCTACTCCGACGAGACGAATGACGAGCACAAAGCAGAGCCCACGATTGCCGACCAAGGCAAAGTTAAAACAGAGCAGAAAAGAGCAAAAGAAAAAGCAATGCCGGTCAAAAGAAACGGCGAACAAATAATAAAATAATAATAAAACATGTGAGGAGCACGGAGCAAACTGGAAAGCAAAAGCAACAAAAGCTACGAAAAACGAACCGAACCGTATCTTATCAGCAATTTCTGTTATCGCTGACGTGAAAATAACAAATAACAAAATCAAAGGAAACTCAAAAGCAATAACACACATAACAATTTCGGTGCGGCAGAGAATTTAACAGCCAGGGATTGAAAACAAATTAAAAACTTGTAAAAACAAAGTAATTTGCGATTTAACAAATTCAGCTATTCACGTTTTAGCCATTAAGACAAAAAAGTCAAAGAAGTATATTTGAACGGTTTATATTTAATTAAAAATGTTTTCTAAAACAATCATTAAAATATCTTTAAAAATTAGTGCAATAAATCAAAGGATCAATTTGGCAATAAATCACAAAAGGTAGAAACAATCCCATTTGGTTTTAATATGATTAACATATTTTATTCGGTATTTAGTATTAGTATTATAATAAAATTGTCATTGTTAGACTTCCCATTCAGATAATAAGAAACTGTCATCATCATACATATATTTTAAAAAATATTTTAGACAAGCCACCTGTTGCTCTTATATTTTTTTGATCACCCCCAATTTCCCAATTTCTTCGATTATTCTCTGCATCACTATTACAAGTGTAATAACGTGTGATTGAGAATTCAGAATTGCAATAGTTCTCTTCCTGAATTCGCTTGCGTTTTCTTTGTGCTTAGCAACAGCAACTGATTCTTGTTGTTCAAGTGGTAATGGCAAATAGTACGCATTTATCGGATGCAGCGCCTTCTCTGCTCACTTAGCCATAGGTAAATAAATATTTCTGCGCATTTCTAGCGTCTTGGCACCCACCACAATCCTCATTCTTCTTTTCTTGATACACTTGTTCACTTGAAATTAGCTGACAGATCTCTCAGATCCTTTCGCACCCGCATTACAATGAAAAAAAATGCATTGCTTTAATTAAATCAATTCACAGGAAGTGAAGTAAGTAAAAACGGCCAATCATGTGTCTCGAATTTGGCTTCCGTGTTCGAGTTTTGTCGCCTATGATAAGATCGAAAGCACGGACTCCCAGTGGGATTGTAGAATGACAAATTGTCAACTAAACACAAATGAATGCTGAACAACCGGAAGAAATATAGCTCCAGTTTCCCCACAACACCCAGTCTTACAAGGTAATGGAGAATCTAGCTGTTTTTATACACTAAGAGCCCATTACTATTAACATATCATTTATATCCTATTTAAAGTGAGGAGGATATTTCCTATTGCTATGATTTTCTCAAAAGAAAAATAAAACTATATAGTTCTTGTAACACAAAATTAATACTAGTTATTTTTAACAATAGAATAACTTTAATAAGGTCAGATTTAAGAGTTAATCGATTAAACGAAAAACTTAGTTTTTTCCCCGAATCTAAGAAAGTATGCACGATATCATTATTAACCATAATCGGCATGAGACTATTTTTTATCGCATTGTCCCCATAATCGTAATGAGGCTTTTAAATAAAATAAATTTCTACAGGACCCCTCTATTTACAGAACTTTAAGTAATGGACCATTGCAAAACATACCTTGCTTCCATGGATTGGCCGGCTCCAGGTAACCGGTGACCAGTTCGTTATCCGGAAACGAGACGCGACGGGCGATGGACGAGGTGAGCGAGCTTTCCGAGGATTTTCGCTGCAGGAGACTGGGTGCCGTCGATAGGATGATGCCCCTCATGGGAAGGCCCATGGGTGCAGCAGTGCCTCCTGTGCCTTCCGCTCCTGCTCTAGAATTCACGAAATCCGGGCACATGGTCGAGCTGGGATTGGAGGCCAGCGAATCGGTGCGCCATACCGCCGTCTGCTTGGCATCGTGGTATATCTTGATCTTCTGTCGTTGCTGCGTTCGCATCTGGGCATCGAATGCGGTCCCCACCGATTCTGCTGCGGCAGCAGTAGCAGCGGTATCGTTATTCGACGCAGCAGCCGCATCAGCTGTTTCTGCCAATTCCGTTCGCTCTGCCACAGCTGTTGTTGTCGGCGGCGGCGGCGGCGGTTGACCCTCAGCTGTTGCATTTATTTCCTTTACACCAGCTGATGTCTCTTCTGCTGCCGCAGCAGATGTTGTTGCTGCGAGGTGCGTTGCAATTGTTGGCTCCGTTCCATTGCCTTCTGTTGTTGCTGTAGCTGTTGTTGTTTTTGGCTCTGCAGTGTCGCGATTATTGTGCAACATTGTTGCTAAGCGTTTTCGGTTGCTGCTGTCGTTCTCAAGTTTGTCGCGCTTCAAGTTTGCAGATTTTCTCGAGCTTGTTGTTTATTGTTATGGTTTACATTTAAATCACTTTAATATATGTACACTCCCTCGATATCGCTTATTTTTCGTTTTTAATTTTGTTGTTTGTGCTTCGAACGTGCGCCTTCTGTTTACATTTTCGGGTGCTTTTTATCAATTATTTATTTATTTCAACACTACGAAACGAATATTAAATTAAGATTAATTTGAGTCAAACACAATTAGAAGTGTTTTGTATGCCGGTCGCCTACGGTTTAGAAGGCGATAAAGTAGTGTTCGAATTTGTCAAACGCATCGAATAATCAGCAGGGGCCAGTTTACAAAACACAAAAAATTTTCCGCTCAAAAATTTCCACCGCCAGAAACGCACAGTGGAATCAACAACAGCAGTTGGACCGACAAATTCGAATTTTTTGAATAGGATTTTTTTACATTATATTATTTGTTTGAATTCGAATTTTTTGAATTGGATTTGTTTACATTATATTATTTGTTAGTTACGTTTACTTTTTTATTTTTTGACTTTTAATTTACATTTTAGATTAGTTTATTTCAGGAAATCTTTTATTGCAGATAAGTGTTTTCACTATTTTGTTATATTTCGGCCTTAGAGAGCTGCAAATTAGCTTATTCCCTGAAGTTCCAAAATTCATCAAGTTTTGAGTGATGAGGACTATTGATGAATGATCGATGAAACGTTGCAAGATTTATTTGCTAATTGATTTCTAACAGCTGTAATTAGCTCCCTTTCCACCCCACTGTGCAATGTTAAGTTTGAAAACAAAAGGAAATGGAATATTAAGAAAAAATACGGAGAGCACACACACAAAACGCTCTCTTGGCGAAGCAAGAGAGCAAAAGAGAATGGCATAAAAAACATTACCTAATTGTTATTGTTTTTGTTTGCGTTTGCATTGCCAGGAAAGAGAGAGAGAGAGAGAGAGAGATACAGAGGGAAAAGCGAGAAAAGTCTGTTTGCGATTGTTGTTTGTTATCGTTTTTCCCCTCTGCACTTTTCGCATTTTTGTTTACCTCACCAGGTTGCCTTTCTCTCACGCGCCTCTGTGTGTGTGATTGTGCCCATATGTGTGCGAGAGTGGGGGAATAACACGCGCCCTGTTGCATGCAAAACTCAAATTAAAAGGCAAATTGCAATTGGTAATTACACAGGCAGTCGAAAGGGACAAACAATTGCACGCTGCTCACTTTTCCTCGAATTTTGTTTTAGAATAAATACACAAATTACGTCACGCATGTCGGTGTGCGTTAGAGGGAGTCCTACAGAGTTGTTGTTGTTTTCGAAGTTTTCCTTCGATTTCCGCGTTGCGTAGTTTGTATCTCTTGTTTTCACATAATTAAATGCGGATTTAAAACACTCTGGCTTTGGCGCATTTTCATTTTCACGCACACAAACTTCTTCTTTTTTTTGGTTTTGTTATACAACTTTGGGCGAAGGATTTTCGATTGGGCGGCCAGTCAACAGAAGTGGCGTTTTATCGGGCTTTTTACCGAACCGTGCTCCATTCAGTTTAGCATTCAGCTATCGACGTTTAGGCATCCGCGACCCAACAACCGATCACAATGACGTTGAAAATGCGAAAGATAGAAATAGAAACCGAGTTGCGCATTTTCATGCTGGCCAACGGGCGTTGCCAGACTGCCGCAGTGCGAATTGGTGATAAAGGACTGTTTATGCTGAGTTTGAATTCTTGAATAAATAATGTAAGCCCCGCAGGTGAATTTATAAAATGGCACAAGGCAGCAAAACTAGCAGCATTATGTAAGTCTTTTAGCACAGTTGCATCTTGACATTCCAAGGCCAATATTCTTAACTTATTTTTATGTAAGCAATGTCCATTCAAATACTCATTCTTAATTATAATAAATTAAAAATGTTATTGAAAATTTATGGTACACTTGTTTGAATTTGAATATACAGAAATATTTACTCTTTTCGTAATTCCACCTCGCGAACAGAACAATGGCGACGTGTAAACCACTCTTAACTCTCCCGACAGTCTGGCAACCCCTCCACGTGTGCTCTTTTCACGCACCCTCTCGCTCACTCTCCCTTAAGTCGCACGAAACATACAACATCAAAACAATAAGTTTGTGTACACATGCTCGTCTATATGCACTTCACGTTGCTTATTAATTGATGCTCGCACTAGTTGTTTGTTTTAATTGCACATTTTGAACACGATTATCGGGCAAATCACGCAAAACCTGCCGCTGCTCTCTTTATCTCTCTCTGTATGGTACGCCAGCGATATGATGTCAGAGGAAACCTTTTCCGTACACCTCGTAGGGGAATAATAAGTTGGAATCCAATATGCCAGCCTTTGCTTAGTATTTCATTTTGGCCAATTTGCCGTTTCAGGATGGCGAACCGCACTTTTGCGCGTTACAATTTCGGCCGAGGTGCGACGGAAAAAAAAACAAACTTCAGTTTTCAAGGTCACTGGGCTGAAGTTCCCCACACACACGCACCTTTTCTTGCCGTTTACCCGCCCACCGCAGAGTTTTGTTTTTCCCGGAAACGAGCTTTATAATTAATCGAAAAGGCTTACTTTGCACTCTATGTTATTTACTGTATTTAAAAAATTTCGTCCAATGGAGCCGCGAAACTCCGTGCGCGACAAAATGACGAGCTCGGCCAGTGTTACCATCTGCTCTACGTTCTCCATTACCCAACGGCTTGCGCCGCAACGCCATTTAGCGCAGTTAATGATGTGTTTCCACTGCCTAGGAGGTACAGTGAAAACTCATTTGTGTGCAATTTTAAAACCTAGTAAACAGATCGCAAAAGATCAGTCCTGTGTTTGTTACAAGCCAATTTGCAAAAATATGATTACAAATTGTTTAATTAACACCGGCTTATCATAAAGTATTGCCAAAGGAGGCACGAAATGCTTTGCTTTCGTATATTTTTGTGGATCAGCATTTGTGTAGTGGTTTGATAATAACATTAATATTAACATTAATTTTACTGTCACTGAAAATAATATTTCTTTAATTTTCCAGAACTATTTTGCCTCTGTCTCTTATACCTGACGGACGGATTTCGTCGATCTGTGTATATTATTAAGCGCTGCAAAAATAAAATAAAATAAAATAAATAATTTTGTATGAATATTTATAAGCAAAATAACGTTCACCCAATACCACTAGCAACCACCAAGTTCAATTACAAATATTTTCTGCATTATAGGGAGCTTAAAAACCACATAAGTCTTTTACTTTTGTTAACAGAGGTAAAATGGTAGTGGCTCTTGAATCTCTGAACCTTTTTTCATCATTAATTATTATATTAAAATTACTAATTTATCTATTTATCCATTTAACTAATACAGCTTATATACATTTTTTTTTAATTTTAAGCCCAAAAATACTCACGGAGGCGGTTTCACCACCGGAACGCGGAAATACTGGCCAGTGGAAACATCCCGAAATTGATTTTTAGTATTTTTCCTTGGCCCACATAGCATACGTTGGCGCACCCGACACGGTCACACCGATGAAAAGCCAACTCAGCTGAAAGTGAACCCATTTTTATACACAAAAAACTAGTAGCTGCAGCGAAATAAGTTAAATTCACCTGTCCACTGAGCCCCAAGACGATGCAAAATGCGGCTGGCCAACGAGAAAGCGAAAATGCAGCCCCAGCTGAGTGAGTTGGCCCTGTTCGTGGGCCTGGCGATCTGCTGTCTTCCAACTTTGACGTGGGCCGCGGCGACTCTCTCCGACAAGCGACTGTGCGCCGACCCGAAATGTGAACGTAAGTTTAATCTTGGGCCAGACAAGACAACCTTGGACCCCTGATAGTTCCATGTCTCTTGAAATTGCATAATTAATGTGGCATTTCGACGGCTGTTTCTCCTTGCAGAAATCATCTCGACGGGCATTGCCAAAGTGAGCTATGCCGGCGGCGGCGAGGGGCTGATATCCTTCAAAATCAACTCCCCCATCCGCGTCCTGTCCAAGAGCGCCGGCTCCAACAAGCAGCTGTGGGGCGTCGATATCAACGGACGGCGCGGCTATGCCAACAAGGACTTTATCAGGGAGAAGAAGGTCCTGATCCTGGACAAGGACCTGTTGTACGAGCTGCCAGTGCTGGGACTTGGCAGTCCACCCGTCCAGACCGTGGAGAACCCACCGCAGCCCGTTCTCAACGCCTCGGAGTCGGCCGATGACCTGGCCACGACCACAACGTCACCACTCAAGGTTGCCGTGGATTCAATAGTGGTGGAGCAGGACAAACTGACGGATCAGCAGGTTCCTCATCCTACGGCGGCTTCCCAAGTCCAGGTGCAGCTGGTGGAGGGCACTGAGCTGCCCCTGGAGGCCATTCCGGCAGTGACCGAAGGCACCATTGTGCCAGAGAAGACAGAAGATCCCCAAGAAGCGCAGAAATCCGAATCCGCCTCGGCAGTTGTTGACACGAAAGAGCCACAGGCGTCAACTTCTGAGACCAGTAAGCCACAGGAAGTATCTACGGATGAGCTACCTGCCACCGGCGCTCAGAAGCCAACTCCACTGCCGCAGGCCATCAACGCTGAACTTGAAGACGCTGAGGATTTCGACTACGGGGATGACGAGGCAGACGAAGACGACGACAACGACGACGATGACGAATTTAAACAAGGTAGCGAAGATAACGAATCGATCATAGAAAAAACAAACGATAAGAAATCAATTAACGAATCGATTGAACTGAACCCGCTTTCGGTTGAGCAAAAGAACGCAACAGACATATTGGAGGACGAAAAGGAAGAGCTTAAGGCAAAGCCGGTTGAAGGTGAGGTGCCAAAGCAGGAAGAAGTACTTCCCGCAGAGGCGGCCACAGAAAATCCGACGGAAGTGAAGGAGGCAGTCGAAGAAGTCACTGAGGCACCGCAACTGATTGTCAAAGACGAAGTTAAAGAGGAAATAGCTACGCTTTCTGATGAAATCCAGGCTGAGCCTGAAAAAGATAACACTGCTGACCCTGTTGTGGCTCAATCCGAGGAGGAAACAAAGGCGCCATCTGAGTCAGTGGCCAGCTCAACTGTTCCAGAGGTTCCAGAGGCAGCTGAACCTATTGGCCTGCCGCCCCTTTTCGAAAAGAAGAACTTTGAGAATCCCAATGATTACTATAAGCAATTGCAGGAGCAGCAGCAAAAGCAAAAACTAATCGAAGAAGCGGATCAGCAAATTAGGTTACAAGAGGCAGCGGAGCAGCAAAAGAGATTAGAAGAGGAAGCGGAGCAGCAAAAGCGTTTGCAGGAGGAAGCAGAGCAGGAGAAGAGGTTGCAAGAGGAAGCAGAGCAGCAGAAGAGATTGCAAGAGTTGGCCGAACAGCAGCAGCGGGCAAGTGAGGAAGCGGAGCAGCAACTGCGGGCCCAGGAAGCCGATCTGCAGCAGCCTAATGATTCTAAGGATACACAGTCCAACAAAGTTTTTGATAACACGAATGACTACTACAAGGAGCAGCATCACCAGCACCATCATCACCCCACAGAAAGTGCCTATAATTACCCATCGAGTGCCGAGCAAACTACTCCAACCCCTGACACTGAGTCTTCGTATGGCGCAGTCCAAGAGGAGACCACACAAGCATCACCAGCTGACTCTGAGCGCGCGGGAGTTGGTTCCGTGGAGCCAGTAGCTCTGCCCGCGACCTCTAGTCCCGTGTCAGAGGTGCCCGTGAAGGAGGATAGCGTAGGCGGTGGCCTATTTGCCACGATTGTCGACACCGTGAACAATTTTATCGGAAAGGAGCCACAGACTGGTCCATCGGACAGCAGCGATGAGCTGCAAAGAATTCTCTATCCTGGAAAGGTTGAGGTGGCAGCATCTCAAAGGAAAGTAGAAGGTGAGACAGTCATAATATCCACATCATTTAAAATGAAACAGCTGAGCAAAGTCATCAATAATAATTAGACCTCGGATTTTGCATATTTGTCCATTTTTGGTCCGATTTTTTACCAACATTTTTTTATAAAATACATTATATTTTTCAAATGTAATAAATTCGGATGCATATCGGAAATATGCAAAATATATGCATAAAACATGCAAAATATATGCAAACAATTGGAGGCTCAAATTTTTAATGCAGCCTTCTGGAATTCTAAGGAACCTTCAGTAAACTATTCCAAAAACTATTCTGCCCCTTTAAAAAAAATTAAAATATGCCTATCTATATGCCTATCTTTATCCTATAAAAAATATGCAAATATGCCAAATCCGAGGTCTAATAATAATAATACACAAAAGCTTATCTTCAGTTAAGAGAACGATTTAAAGATCGAAACTTTATTTCCTTATACTATTTTCCATTCAAATTTTACAGACTCTGCTCCTGCCGATGTGGATGGTTACTGCGCTCGGTTCCAAACGCGGGATGAGCACTGCCATAGCTCCATATCCCTTGATAACTTCGCGGAGGTAATGGCCGGCAAACTGGTGGATCACAGCCAACTTCTGCTGTGTGTGGTTATTGCGGCTGCCTCGTCCTTGTTCTTTGTGCTCGCCTACTACTGCTTCTGCAACAGCAGCCAGGAGGGAGCCCTCCTTTCGAAACTGAACCACTTGGAGCGCAGTCTGCTGGCATCCCACAAGGAGAACCTGATCATCAAGCACGACCTGATGACCACACGAACCAAGTTGGCCAGCATTGAGGACAATTCGTTTGGCTCCAACGACATGGTGGCTGACCTCAAGAAGCAGCTAGAATCGGAGCTTTACGAGAAGGCCAAGCTGCAGGAGCAGGTTGGCTCGCTAGAAAGGGTAGGTCGAGACATTTTATTTTATAAAGCGGTAATTATCAAGTCTGTTTTGTGTCAAGGATCTGGATAACGCGGCTGAAGCTGGCCTGGAGCTGAATAAAATGCTGTCGGAGGTGCTGAGCAGCCAGAATGGGGATGAGGCCTTCATGAGCACTGTTGATGAGCTGCAGCGACAGCTCAACGATCAAGAAAGTGAGTATAGGCTATACCTTATTTACTCTTGAATCTATATATTTTTTTATTGCCATCTACTATTTAATATTTTTTATACTTAAACACCCAATAATTCTTTATATTAGTGGAAATATTCTACTGAAATTGAAACATTTTCAATATTTTCTCTTGAGTCTTAGATCGAAAATGTATTTATTATTGCTATCTACTATTTAATGCATGTATATACCTACTAATTCTTTTTATTAGTGGAAATATTTTCACTTGAATCTTAGATCGAATGAAAATGTATTTTTTATTGCTGTCTACTATTTAATGCATTTTATACTTGAAAACCTACTAATTCTTTTTATTATTGGAAATATTCTACTGAAATCGAAACATTTTCAATATTTTCACATTTAATACTTGAATACCTACTAATTCTTTTTATTAGTAGAATTCTACTGAAATCGGAACATTTTCAATATTTTCTCTTGAGTCTTAGATCGAAAATGTATTTTTTATTGCTATCTACTATTTAATGGATTTTATTCTTGAATACCTACTAATTCTTTATTAGTGGAAATATTCTACTGAAATCGAAACAATTAACGTCGTAGTTAGTTAGCACATTATACTGTTGGGTAAAACTCCTTCTCCTTTGCAGAGATAATTATCGAGATCAATTCGAGTCTGGCAGAGAAGAGTCGCGAGAACAGCGAACTGCAATACTCCTTCACGGAGGCCACAGCTCGCCTCACCAGCGAACTGAAGGCCCTGCAAGAGGACAACTACGAGCTGGATATGGAAAAGTCTAAGCTGCAATCACGTCTTGAGGAAATAAAGGCCGAGACGGAATTAGAGTTGGCCAAGGCGCTCGAGGCTCGCAATTACGAAATGCAGAAACTGCAGAACCAAATTCTCGATCTGACTGCCAAATGGGAGCGGGAACACGGCGATTTGCAGACCAGTCTGGCCAAGATCGAAGCGCTCGAGGATTGCCTAAAGGCAGTGAAGAAGGATGCGAACCTCAATGTCCAGGAGCTGATCACCTCAGCCAAGACGCGCGGGGAACTGAACGCAGCCCATAAAAAGTTCGTCGAGCTGCAGGCGAAGGTGGAGCAGGAGGTGGCCCACAAGCAGCGGCTGGAGAGCCAGCTGCAGCAGTCGAGTACAGATGTGGAGCAGCTGAAGCAGGACTTCAACCAATCAGAGCGCGACAAGCTGGAAGCACAGACGCGACTCGAAGTCCTATCGGGCTACTTCCGTGAGAAGGAGAACGAACTTAAGAAGTGGGTTATCCAATATTGCTCTTGTGAAAATTTCATTGAATTTTATTTACCTTCTTAGAGAACTGAGTCTGCAGGAGACCAAGTGGCTGCAGCATCAGGGAGAAAATGCCAGCACAGTAGAAACGCAGACGCTGATGAAGAACGAAATCCAAACCCTCAAGTAAGTGAACCGATTACTATAAAAATATACCGCCTGTCCAACGACACACTGTGGGGACCCTAGAGCTAAAAGCCTGCCAAAAAGGTTTTTTTTTTAAGATTTTCCAAAATTTAGCAAAGCAACTTTAAAAACAATTGCATTCTCTTTAAAAATCAAAAAGAAAAAGTGATCTGTGATGAATGGTTCTCCCACTAAAGATTTGTAAAGTTGATTTGGCTACAATTAGCCATTAAGAGAAAAAAATATTTTTATACATCTTTGAAATAATTCTGAAGGCGCCTAAGGTCTTTAGTTGTATATGTAACGATTGAAATTTTAAGAGCAACCAATTCTTAGAATATTAAAAAAAATAAAAATTGTAAGCGCATAATTACTATTATTTTTAAATTTTTAAAAGTGGTCCAAAAAAATTTCCTTTTTTGGGATATTCTTGGACGTAAAGTGTGTTACACCCTAGATCCCCGTTGTATTCTTTTTTAAAAAAAGTTTAGATATTTAACTACAAATTCTGAAAAAATTAGCCTGCCCTTTTGTGCCTCTTCTGAAAAAACCGCAGTTTAAGTTAGCAAGAAATGTTCATAATTTAAAATATCCGTCAGCCCTGTTTCATCCGCGCGCCCAAACATCATGAAGATATTTTACTTGAAGGTATTGATAAAGATAATGATAAATTAGGGCTCCGCTGATTTAAGGCAGACTTTTTCGCTCCACTGTGCGACAGTATTGAATATTGGGCCTTCGATTATAAACACATTCCCTTTTGCAGATCTCAGAATGACGAACTGCGCGCCGAGATCGAGGCCCAGATAGCCTCTCACAAGGCCCAGATGGGCACGCTGGAGAACCGCGCTCACGAGTCTTGGCTTGCGGCGCGCCAGTCAGAGCGCCGATGCGAAGAGGCGCTGGCCGAGGCCGCCGGCCTGAGGCGCAAGCTGACCACCATGGCCAGCGGAGGAGGAGATCCAGGCGTCATGGAGGCCATCGCTGCCAACGGAGCGGCGCCTGTGCTGGGGGCGGAATTGAAGACGGCACCGTCGCCGCTTCCCCTGCCGGGTTCCCCACTGCTGAACATGCCAAATCCACTGCCATTCCTGGCGGCGCCCTTCTCTCCCTTCATGGGTCTGCCGCCGCCATTCCTGCCGCCAGCTGGAGTGGGCGGGGCACGTCCCCCGCCGCTGGGTCGCATGCGCTCCCCACCGCCATCGAGCCGCGGCGATCGGGATCGGTACTCGGACTACAGCGACTATGATGACTACGACGACGATGAGGAGGACGAGCGGGGCATGGACCGCCGCCGAAGGCACAGCGGAAGCTGGGGCCGCCGCCACCGCGACTCCTACAACCACTCGCCGCGCACATATCGCTCGCTGTCGCCGTCGGACAGTCGCTACAACTACAACGATACGGAGACGGACTTCAGTCCACCGCCGAGTCCGCCGCCAGTTTCGTCGGGACGCAGCGCGACATCGCGACCCTACAGCGAAGTATGAGGGAAGGGGAGTTCCCGTGTAACCAAGTCCTACCAAGTATATTAGACTCAAAACTAGTTCAAATATATTTATTAATCATGATTATCGAAAGGTCGGGTCGGGGCGGGTCGGCTCGGCCTCTCAAATCGATTCCACTAACAGGGATCTCAGGAGAATCCATCAACATCAAGCACTAAGAAAACTCCTGACTGAATGGTGAATGATACCCAAGAAAATTAAAAACAATTAAACACAATGACAAAAACCCAATAACAGCTGTTTTTCTCTAGAATCGGGATAGGACTTACTTATTTATTTTCTTTATTGTTGAATTATTTTTTTGAGAAGTTGGACAATTTCAAGCATATTTTATATTTATATTATTTATTAGACTCATATATTATATTATAATTTATAACCAGGGACCGTAAATAACAGTTATTTGACACTTTTATTTTAAAACGCCTACTGAGACTTGTTCAATTTTTTATCAACAATTTTACTGGTTTTTATGCACTTTATAGACATGGACAAATAACAGTTAATTTGCTTTCCAGATTTGTTGAAATGCATATGCTTTGTGGACAAGAGTAAAAAAGAGTGTTATTTTTGAGGTTTAAAACTAAATATCACAGTAGTTCTTTTAAAATAAAAGTCTCAAATGACTGTTACTTACGGTCCCTGTATATAACATCAAATAAAAACACCTCTTAACGAGGTAAAAAACTAGTGACGATCGCACCTTCAACGTACAAAAGTTCTGATATCAACTTTTGTGACGAAAAATAATTTTAGATGCGACTAAATAAGTACGCTACCTAAAATTTACTCGTTCGGCCCGCTTTAGCAAATATTTAATATCTACACGAATGTTTTTCTGTTTTAGCGTGCCGAATGAATAAATTTTAGGTAGCGTACTTATTTAGTCGCATCTAAAATTATTTTTCGTCACAAAAGTTGATATCAGAACTTTTGTACGTTGAAGGTGCGATCGTCACTAGTTTTTTACCTCGTTAAGAGGTGTTTTTATTTGATATCAGAAGTTTTTGTTTGTTTACTTTTGCTCTCATAGGTGCTAATATAAACATTTAAATTTAAATTGGTCATAAATCATAATTCTTAAACTATTGTATTTTAACGAATTAAGTTAAAAAGGCGTTGAAGTATTTCAAAATACCTTTTAAACGAGGTATAGCACATGTCTGTACCTTTAGTAGTGTAGAACTTAAAAACTAACGAAATTTAGCCATTTTTAGCTATTTTCCCGCTAAAGTAGCGGCTTTTTCCAAAAGTCGTAGAACAAAAGATTCCTATATGGAACTCTTAAGTGCAAATTTACTGATTCCATGACCCTAAAATACAGTTCGGATACCCTCCCACAAAATTCAATACTCAGGGAGCGTTAATTGTTCGAGCTGGCAAAAGTGGCTATTTTCGTATAAAAATAACTTTTAAACGTGACTTTTTACAGTAATGTGTTATATACCAAAATTTAAGGAATCTCAAGGGCTATACAGTTTAAGGTTTTAAAGAAAATCGTTAGAGCCGTTTTTGAGAAAAATAAAAAAAGCTAAAAAAAAGTTTTAAAAAATTGTCTTTTGTTCATATTTTTTTAATTATTACATTTACACAAATTGCATATAGAAGGCGTTTATAGCATTTAAAAATACCTTTCAAACGAGATGCAGCACAAGTCTGTAGCTTTAGTAGTATAGAAGTTACGGCTTTCCGATTTTTAGCTATTTATAGCTGTTTTCCCGCTAAACTAGCGAGTTTTTCCAAAAGTGGTAGAACAAAAGTTTTTTATATCGATGTCATGAACGTCATATAAAATTTTCAAAACTTAAAAAACATGTTTTGGACAAGTGGACAAGTGGACAAGTGGACAAGTGGACAAGTGGACAAACAGAAATTAATTTTCATTTTGGGAAGAAGAAGAAAATCTTATTTTGGCTATAACTTTTGAACGGAGAGTCGGATTTTGACAAATGATCCCTCATTCGACGGGTATTTTCAAGAGGAATACAACTAAAACATTGCGAGGGGGCATTTATCCCCACCGGCCCCAACAGCTCCAAATTTCGAAATTTTCAATTTTTCACTTTCACCGCTCTCTCTCCCAAGCCAATTGATTTTCTTAAAGTCTTGGTATGCAATCCTTTAAGTTTTTGCAATACCTTTCGATTGGTGTATTACTCATTACGATCGGACTATCACTGCCGATTTTCAATTTTGCGGCTATATGATAGTAGTCGCCTTCGCACACTCTCCTGGTGCGCTTCGTCACTACATGGACTGCCGTCCATAGTGATATTAATAATATTTTTAACAAGAATTTAAATAATTTTGTTTGCCAAACTTCCAACATAAATTCTAAAGGTAATAGTCTAGAAGATTACGTGCAGAAGATTATCGGCGCAAATGCATGGTTCTCTTGTAATTGCATTTTAAAGTTGCTGCTTTCCAAAATGAATAACGAATTACGCATTTTGTGCGTCACGTCACGTCTCTTGTAGTACAAATTCAAGCTCTATAATAGCGTAAAGTAATCGTGTATTGATGTTCGTCGGATTATAGGAAACTATAAGTTTCGGGTGCCTAAAATGCTGGGCAATCTGGGGAACAAGATCAGTAATAAATTAACCAATTCGTTAAAAAACTATTCATATACATACCAACGCCTCTTTATCAGTTTTATAGAATTGGATGGTCAACGCCTCCTTCCGCTGATTCAAGGCGCGGCTCATGATTGACTTGCTAAAGGCGAAGAATTCGTCGTGCAGAACCTGGTTGGTCATGCTGAAGACCCTGAGTCGGGGGCATGCAAGCACCACGTCCCATATCTCGTTGGCATTTGACAAAATTCTTGAGCTCTTCAGGTGCAGTTGCTCCAAAAGAGGAAAGCAGTTGGTAATAGAGCGGAAGTCAATGGCATCACATTCTTCACCATTGACAAGAGTTAGGCACCGTAGGTATCGGAACTTGGACATTACTCGAGTTTTCCAAATGAAGATGTTATCTTCGAAAACGGCTGATACCATATCCTGACCCCTCAGACGACCAATGTCCGACAGGATTTTGTCCAAATTGTCGTAATTCCACAGTCGCAGCTTTCTCAGCTTGGGCAGACGCATTAGTTTGCTGGTGTTTTCAGTGCCTAGGTCGTAGATGTGCAACTCCAGCTCCTCCAGTTCCTTCAGCGAACTGATGGCCCGCACAAAGTCATCTTCCTCATGTATGAGCCATTGGATTTTCAGGGTCTGAAGGTTCCCAAGGCTCTGGCAGATTTCCTCGAAGTTCTGGGTGGTCAGGTACCAGCATAGCTGAAGATCGAGTCGGCGAAGATTTCTCCACTGACTAATATGTTGACCGCTGGCGTTTGCACATACCTCAAAACCCTCCAGCAGCGGAAAACAGTTCACCAGAATCGCAATGTCAGAGTCTTCCTCCATCTTATTGTCTCTATGCACCGTGTAGCTCAAATCCCTCATATTTGGAAAGGTGTGGTTTTTCCACTGCTTAAGTTGATCCATATTCAGGTTCTCGAGCGAAAGTTCTGCCACAGTGAGACGGATGGACCTCAGGAATTCGTGGAGAACGTCGGGATTTCCCTCAAATGTTTTCCGATTAACGGTGTGATTTGTCTGGCGCTGCCAGGCATACGAAAGCGCCGATCTCAGGCGGGATGAGGACTCGGAACTCTTCCATAGCTGCACTTGGTCCTCCAGGTTCAGGTACTCTACAATTTTACTATTCAACTGTTATTCCGAATTATTTACTAGGTTACTTTCAGAGTCACTTACAGGAGGCAGTCATCATTGAGATTATCAATGCACGCCATTACCTTTGGAAAACTGTTATGCGGAACCTGTAGTACCTATAGTCATTCAAATTTAAATAGACCTCAAATGGAGATTAAGGGAAGGTAGTAACTGCTCTTTATCCGATAATATATCTATATTATTATAGTACTAAATACCAAAAATGTTTTGGTAGGGTTATCCTGTAATAAGGAAAACAACCTTCACCGCTGAGTTCTCTATAAAAACTGATTGTATTTCACGAAGTCTTTGCTCAAGTAACTAACATGAAATTCTTATAATATACTTATCTATGGTCTACGCAGAGACCACATCTGTTTGCCTTATCAACTCTCTCCCGCGAATCGACCCTTTGTGATAGGATACCCGTTACTCAGCCAAAGGGAATGCGAGGGAGACGGAGATATGAAATTTTGATTGCGCATAACATTTTAATGAAGGTTAAGGATAAGGATTGGATAAGTATATAGTATATGGGTGTTGATAGTCGAAACAAAACCTCATTTACACTTTTACAAAATCTATAAAAATGCGGGCGCTATACCGATTTTAACGTTGAAGGGTTTTGTGGGCGTGGCACTCGGCGGAAGCAAACATGGTCTTAATAGGCACTAGAACAATCTGTATAGAACGTTTTTACTCTCTAGCTTTAAAAATGTGGTTGCCAGAGTAACATATTTAGAAAAAATTTAAATGCATGTTATATGCATTAAATTATGATGATTATGATTATGATGATTTAATGATTAAATTTTAACATTTATTGGGTGTTAGATGGGCATTAATAATTAAAACAAGATCCCATTTACATTTCTCCCAAAACTTTAAAACTGTGGGTGCTACGCAGACCTTAGCTTCGTAAGCGATTGTGGGCGTTAGAGTGGGCGTGGCTCATTCGCATAACAAACTTGCGCTGAATAAAAAGCTAAGGAATCGAAATCTAAACCACAGCTCTTAAAGCTTCCGATAGCACAGCATTCACATAAACAGATGGACGTAGAGTAAAAGAGTATTTTGCGTTCGTGCAAAAGTATATAAAAGGTAGTTGGAAGATTTTCAATCCTCCGTGTTCTTTGGGTAGGTAATCGGGACGCACTATATCGAATATAGTCGAAGGATCGGAGCTCACCGAGATCTAAACGATATGTTTTCCTGAACTCAACTAGAAGTCACCCGACTCTTGATTTTGGCAGGACGCAGGGACATTGATAAAGTGGATGTCACCATTGCCTCCAATTAAACACAATAACAAAAACCCAATACCAGAATCGGGTTAGAATTAATTTATTATACCCGTTACTCGTAGAGTAAAAGGGTATATTGTATTCGTGCAAAAGTATGTAACAGGTAGAAGGAAGCGTTTCCGACCCCATAAAGTATATATATTCTTGATCAGGATCACTAGCCGAGTCGATCTAGCCATGTCCGTCTGTCCGTCTGTCCGTCTGTCCGTCTGTCTGTCTGTCTGTCCGTCTGTCCGTATGAACGCTGAGATCTCGGAAACTATAAAAGCTAGAAGATTGACATTTTGCATGCAGATTCTAGGAGTTCCTACGCAGCGCAAGATTGTTTCAAAAGGGTGCCACGCCCCCTCTAACGCCCACAATCGCATATATACGATTTTAAAAATTTCAATATTTTGGAAAAGTAAAAATGCAGTTTTATTGTGTTTATCAATACCTATCGAAATGTAGAAGAAATTTTTTAAATCGGACCATTCGTTAAAAAGTTACGGCGGATCAAAGTTTTTCTCCATCTCTTTCGCACTCCCTTTAGCTGAGTAACGGGTATCTGATAGTCGGGGCACCCGACTATAGCGTTCTCTCTTGTTTTTTTAGTCAAAAATATTATTATTCACCGAGCTATTTGCCAAAGCACAAATCCGAAATAATTTCTATTAATATGATAGCCCTGAGAGGTTACATTTTTTTAAACATCTATTGCATTTATTTTATTCGGTAGTCTCTTTACTAGGCGAATATTTTATTTGACAGATTTAAGTATTTACATTATTTTTACTTCAACCATTTTGACAATTTTGTTTGCAAAGTTTCCCCAGATAAATACTAATTAAATAACACGGTGTTGCTTTCCAAAATGATGCGTAATTACGCCCATTTTGCGAGTCACGTTACTTGTAATACAAATTCAAGCTCTATACACTCGCCTGGCAATTGTGAATCGATGCTGTTCGTCGGACTATAGGAAACTATAAGTTTCGGGTGCCTAAAATGCTGGGCGATCTGGGGAACAAGATCAGTAATAAATTAACCAATTCGTTAAAAAACTATTCATATACATACCAACGCCTCTTTATCAGTTTTATAGAATTGGATGGTCAACGCCTCCTTCCGCTGATTCAAGGCGCGGCTCATGATTGACTTGCTAAAGGCGAAGAATTCGTCGTGCAGAACCTGGTTGGATATGCTGAAGACCCTGAGTCTTGGGCAGGCAAGCACCGTGTCCCAAATCCCGTCGGCATTTGACCAAATTCTTGAGTTTTCCAGATGCAGTTGCTCCAACAGAGGAAAGCAGTTGGTTATCGTTCGAAAGTCAATGGCACCACAGCCTTCATCGTCGACAAGAGTCAGGCACCGGAGGTTTCGGAACTTGGCCAATACTTCAGTTCGCCTCATCCAGATATTATCGCTGAAAGCGGCCGTTACCACATCCTGACCTCTTAGACGTCCGATTTCCGACAACAAATCGTCCAACTGGTCGTAATTCTGCAGTCGCAGCTTTCTCAGCCTGGGCAGACGCATTAGTTTGCTGGTGTTTTCGATGCCTAGGTGGACGATGTCCAACTCCAGCTCCTCCAGTTCCTGCAGCGAACTGATGGCCCGCACATAGGCATCTTCCTCCGCCTTGTGCCACTGGATGCTCAGGGTCTGAAGGTTCCCAAGGTTCTGGCAGATTTCCTCGAAGAACTGGGTGCTCAGGTACCAGCAAAGCTGAAGATCGAGTCTTCGAAGATTCCGCCACTGACTGATGTGTTGACCACTGGCGTTTCCGCTTATCCCAATGCCCTCCAGCAGCGGAAAACAGTTCACCAGAATCGCAATGTCAGAGTCTCCCTCCATCTCATTGTTTTCGTCCCCCATGTAGGTGAGATTCCTCAAATTGGGAAAGGTGTGGTTCTTCCAGTGCTTGAGTTGATCCAAGTCCAGGTACCGGAGCGTGAGTTCCGCCACCGTGAGGCGGATGGACTGCAGGAATTCTTGGAGGATGTCGGGATTTCCCTCGAATGTCTCCTGGTCCAGGGAGTGATCTGTCTGGTGCTGCCAGGTGTACGTAAGCACCGATCTCAGGCGGGATGATGGCTCGGAACTCTTCCATAGCTGCAGTTGCTCCTCCAGGTTCAGGTACTCTACGATTTTACTATTCAACTGTTATTTAGTTCTTTACCATATTGCTTTTGGTGTCACTTACAGGAGGCAGTCATCATTGAGATGATCAATGCACGCCATTCTTACAGGATTAAACTAACCGGCAGTGAAGAGGTAAAATTTGTTGCCTCCAATGACGAAAACATATGTGCTATCAATAAGCTTTTGACCGTAAAAGCTTTGAGTTCTACACTATCGAATCCAAATTTCCCCAACTGGGGTATTCATTGGATCCCACAAAAGCTCAACTTACGCAGGTCATACTAAAAAACTAGAAAAGAACCAGTACCTCTAGTACCTACCTCAAATATATGACTATAGTCATATGAATTTAACTAAACCCTAAGTATAATATAAAACATGCTAAATTCATTCATTGTAAAATGTATTAACAATAATAATAATGTCATTTTAATTATAAATTTATATGTACATATGTAAATAATAAAAAAAAAACACAATTTTCTCCTGAAAATGTCTGATATCACATTCTCTGACGAATCGGGGTTATTGCTTCACTAGTTTTAGGCTCAGAAATAATCCACATTAAATTTAATAATCTACACTTCAATAAGTTTGATATTGCGACTGCCTTGCTTTTCCAGATAAGATTAAGGTATCTTCGTTGTTGACATTAATAAACTCGGGCCGGTAAATTTCAGTCGATTTCCAGTTTTCGAAAGGACCCCACAGCCCCAAAGGAGGAGCGATGGTTCTTCCGCCCATTATCACCGAATTCTCGCAACTTGTTATCAACGCCGAAACTCTGGGATTCCTGAAAGTAGGGTCCATAACTGGAAAGCTTCGCTTCCATGGTCTGGCTTATGTCCTGCATACTGCCACCAGTTCCTCCGTATTCCTTGGGTAAGTATTCGCGACGCACTATATCGAATATAGCCGAAGGATCTGAGCTCACCGAAATCTAAACGAAATAATTTTCCAGAACCCAAATGGATATAATGTGTAGTTTTTAGTACTCACCCTACTCTTGATTTTGGCCGGAAAGAAGGATCGCAACGAATTGAAACCAGTTTCGAAGGCCGCAGGGACATTGATAAAGTGAATGCCCTTCTGGCGAGTGGGCATCGCCTCATCCGCATAGGTGGAAAACTTACTCAGCAACTGGGGCTGGAGGGCAAAGAGGTGGGCACCCGTAACCCCGGACATGTCCATAATCTCCACATAACCGCTGACCGTGGCATTATCGTCCTCGAACATCATGATCTCGCCGAACATGGAACCGACCCGTATTATGTCCTGAAACTTGTACTTGCTGGTGTCGTAGGAACCGGCACGAATAATGCTCACTCGAGGTCCTGTATCCTCCGTATCCATGGGAATTTGAAGGAGTACTCTTTGAGAAGAGTTGATGTTAATGGTTTTTTAACTCTGTCTTTAACCTTTCTTACCCCATCCTTATGATATCTAGGACCAGCGGATCGGTGGCCAGGCGCCGATCATTGAAGACCTCGGGTATGGATCCCTGCAGGGTGTAGAACCGATCGAACTTTTCTTTTGCCCGTTCCAGGCTAAACTTGGTTCCTCGCAGAAAGGCGAGGAGAAACTGGTCATCGGTGCACGCCCGCAGATGAGGTTGCTTCAAGACCCATTCCCGTAGTGCCTCGATATCCTGGGACACCCGCTGGGGCACCTCGTTTAATTCCTTAATGCATATGGCTTGCAGGGCGGGCTTAAGGGGTCGCACCAAAGTCATTCTATAAGGTTTGCTTTTCCAATAATAATCCCTTAGTAATTCCCTAATTGGCGCGAAAAAATGGTAAAAATCGTTATTTTACCGCGGTCACCTCTCATTACATTGATACTTACTTCCCAGCTGCAGTTTTGACTATTCGAAGTAACTCTGCCGATGGGAAATCGGATTGCGTGCATATGTTTACCGTTTGAAAATACCTCGTCGACTGCCAAATTGATATACGAGTAACATGTGGAATCAACGTACTTTTGCCTGATCATAAGCCGATTTAACAAGGCACGAAGACATTTGTGGACAGGGTGGTTGTGGGTGGTGGCGGGTGGCTTGGGGGCCCAACGGTGGGTGGTACCAGTACCGGGCTGGCGCTTGCAGTATTCCAGTCGGCTCACTTCGTTATGGGTCGCATTGCGATTGATTGTCTTAATTGGCTTTGGATTTATTTTTTGAGTGCATGCGGCTGCGGTTTTGCTGGCCCAGATATGAGCTGTTAAATCCCATTGATAAAGAAGGTTAATCGAGTGCAATTACTTAACGAAAAGCGGATTGATAACGTGCCTTGTTCGTTGAACGCGAACTCGCAAACTTGAAAGTCAACAAGGAAATTAAGCAAAGAAGAGTAACTCGGTTTTTTTTAATTCTTTTTGTACTTCATTTTGTATTCCTACATTATGCAGGAAAATCCGGAAAACATGTTTTTCATGGACATGGCAGGAGAAAGGTCGATGAAAATGTCTCTATTATGAAGTATACATATATATATTTGTACTTTTTTAACTTGCTAGTCAAATGTTTACAAGCCACCAGATAAGAAAAGTCTCCCTTCTATCTCTATACTCCTCTGGATAAATAAATAAAATATAATAAGTAGGTAATTCTCTTATAATGTTGAGTATATTTTAAATTTCAAAACAATCGTTTATTATCCAGAAAACCATGTTTCTGTCGAGAACAAAAACATATTTCACATTAATTTTTAATATAATTTACAAATGTATTTCTTGTAAACAATAAAAACAAATCATTAATTTACAAATGTATTTTTTGTAAACAATAAAAACAAATCATTAATTTATATATATTTTAAATTTCAAAACAATCGTTTATTATCCAGAAAACCATGTTTCTGTCGAGAACAAATACATATTTCACATTAATTTTTAATATAATTTACAAATGTATTTTTTGTAAACAATAAAAACAAATCATTAATTTACGCTTCCTAAATAAAAACATAGTTCATCCCACTTTTTTGAAAATAACGATCTGCCGCCCAAGGAAATACCGTCATTTTGCCGTTTGGTATTTTCTAGTGCTTTTTTACGTTGAGCCCCAACGGCCACACCGTCAGATGGCAACACACTAAACAATCACATTTTGCCGCTTTATTGTTTATTTTTTGCATCCTTTTTATTGTTATTGAAACAATGAATTTACTACCCAAAACACGCGAGGAATTCGCGCAGACGGATTATTGGAACGAGTTCTTCAAAAAGCGGGGTGAAAAGGCCTTCGAGTGGTATGTATTTGGGCAACAAATTGGTCGAGACTTCTCCGGGAAAACTCGAGCAACATGTGTTTTTTGCTGAAACAATACCTATTTTATTTCCCAGGTACGGCGAATATCTTGAGCTGTGCGATCAGATCCATAAATATATCAAGCCGGTTGACAAAATCTTGATGCTGGGATGTGGTAACTCAAAACTGAGTATGGACATGTACGACACGGGATTTCGGTAAGGATTTCTTATTGAGACATGTACAAGAGAATACAGATTGCCTACTTTAAATATTCATTTATATCATTGTACAAACTTTGTTACCAACGTATGGTAGTTATTTCATTATTAAAACATTGTAGAAATGCTATCTCTTAAATTTGTTTATATGTAGTTAAATAATTCGCACACATTTACTATCTTAAAAATAAGAAAGTTCTTTATTAAGAATTATCACTTTAATATTTCCAGGCCCAGAAATACCTGATTTATTATTTCTATTTCTAATCCCAATTATTAATATTTAATTTTTCCCTCAGGGAAATTACAAACATTGATATCTCACCAGTCGCTGTGAAGAAAATGTTGGAACTGAATGCCAAAACCCGTCCTGATATGAAATTCCTCCAAATGGATGCCACAGCCATGACTTTCCCGGATGAAAGCTTCTCAGTTGCTTTGGACAAGGGAACTCTGGATGCTTTGTTTGCGGATGATGCCCCCGAAACGAGACTGATAGTGGAGAACTATTTTAAGGAGATACTGAGGACGATGCGGTAGGGAATTTAAGTTATATTAATTCGAATGATTCTTACATTTTCCCTTCTTTATATAATAGCAATGGTGGCCGCTATGTAGGCATTTCACTGCTCCAGGAGCACATCCTTAACTTCCTACTGGAGTTCCTGCCCAAGCACAATTGCATGCTGAGAATTGTCCACTGCCTGGGAGTGGAACAGGCCAACAAGGAGAAAAATGCCGATGATGCCTTGACACTGCCAGTTTTCGTAGTTGTTGCCACCAAGTTCAAGAGTCTTCCGATGCCTGTGAGTTGCCTCTTTCTGTGTTTTCAAATATTAGAGAATTTAAGCATAATTAATGTTCACTTTTAGATCTTGGAGTTCGGTTTTGGCAACGATAAAATGCAGAGATTTACGGCAGTCTCCGAACTGAATAACGCAGTTTCCTCTGTACAAAAGGCCGCCTTGGTTTGCAACGGTTTAGCCAGATCCAACATAGCTGGTCACAATGAGGTGATAATGGATCTGCATCGACCCTCGGAGCAAACTCCTCGCTATACGATCCACATACTGGACAAGCCGCCAGCTCGAGGACTCGGCAAGTATGCAGCGTTTATTGTTCCTCAGGGAAGGGAGGTGGAGTGGCTTTTTGCCACGCCTGTTGGGCGGAAAAAGCTCCAGGACTCTGCCAACTTCCAGCGACTGGCTGTGGTTACCCTTCATCGTGATCAAGTCTATAGTACCTTGGACGAAGTTAAACTAGAGTTGGCCGACAGCATAAAGAATCTTTCGCCGGCTGGTCTCAACGAACAAATACCGTATCTATCTCTTGGATCCGATGTGGGCAAAAGGGAGACTCTTATTTGTGGTTTCTCAAAAATATCCGGAGACTTCCGAATTGAGGAGGTGGAGGCCAATGGCAAAACCCTGCGACGCCTCATTTTCCTCAGCAATCAGTTTGTTGTGCAGTCGGAAGCCTTGGTTAAAACAAGTAAATATACCTACACTATTCAATTTAACAATGTTATTAATACATATATTTTATTTTAGTCAAAATTAAGGGCAAAAAGGAGCGTAAGAAGATCGACTTTGGTTACTTGGCCTGCCAGCATCATTTGTACATGTCCGTGGGTGTCCAATTGGCCACAACAGTGCAGAACACCAAAAAGGATGTGGAAAAGGATGTTCTGGTCATCGGCTTGGGAGGCGGTGGCCTCTGCAGCTTTCTTCACGCCGCTTTGCCGTATGTTTAGAGTCACTTTATTAAGTAAATATTAATATAATTTAATTTATCTTCCAGCCAAGCCAGAATTACGGCAGTGGAAATCGATCCCATTATGTTGGAGGTGGCTGAGCAGTATTTCGAGCTCAAGCAGGACAAACGCTTCCATGTAGTTATTGATGATGGCCTGGATTTCGTAGAGCGCTGTCGCAATGAAGGTAAGAACCTACGATTTGGGTTTCTTTCAATTTCCTTAATGCTGTTTTATTCTAGATATCCACTTTGATGCCGTCTTGTTCGATGTGGACAGCAAGGATCTCAGTTTGGGTATGAGTTGCCCGCCCCAAAGTTTCCTAGCCGATAAAATCCTGCAGCACATCAAGGAGATTATCGGACCCAAAGGTCTCTTCATGCTCAATCTTGTGTGTCGCGATGAAAGCCTGCGCACCGAGGCCCTCGAAAATCTGCACAAAGTCTTCCCCGCTGTGTGCAGCTACAAATTAGACGAGGACATCAACGAGATTGTATACTGTGCCAACGATGAAAAGTACAAAACTGTCGAACAGTGGAAGAAGAGCATGGGCACCGCTGGCCGAGGATTGAATAGTGCCGTCAAGGAAACCAAACTGGCCAACGAGGATGCCCTCGAGGTAGCAGAGTTCCTCAGCGAGTTAAAAATATAATCTTTATGAAGTAGAACCATTAGCAAAGACGATTTACTTTTTTAAATAAATGTTAATTGTATTTAGTTATAAATAAAGACTAAACTATTAACTAATTTTATGTAGAAATTGCTAAGAATAACAAACTAAATGTGTGGCAATAATTTGCAAATGTTTCGTTCATCACTTAAAGTACATAATCGTGGGATTGGGCGAATATAGCAAGAATGACGAGGCTTGGAATATACGTACACAATTAACCTAGGCTGGTTTAAGCTATGCAAGCAAGCATACTACAAAATATATAAGTACTATACTTAAATTTGTTGTTTTTCGCTTAACAGTCATTTGCATTTCACTGCAACACAAAAGGAACTCTCACTTTATCTTCACTTCTCGGGCCTCTTCAAAGTCCTCAAAAAATAACAATTCGTTTGTACAAACAATGTATCGAATGTCGATCCGAATCTATACGATTAATTACAATGTACGCTGATGTAAAAATGTTAACTAAATCGAAACACTGGGTTTGGGTTCTAGTTAAAAATCGAAGGCCTTGCGAAAGAGGTTGTTGAGGGCGCGCTGCTTCTTCTTGGTGGTGGATGAGGTGGTGCTGCCACCGCTGCCACTTCCGCTGCTGCTGCTCGCCAGACCACCAGGCGTTGCATTGCCATTGCCATTCCCATTCGGGGTGATGCGTCCCTCCCCGGAGGACAGAATGGCCTCGCCCAGTATCCGGAAGGAATTCTGCGTGGCGGTGTTGGCGTTCAGGGGAAAATTGACCTCCGACAGCGACGAGCTGTCCAAACTGGCGCTGGGCAAGCTCTTGCTGGCCAGCTTCGCCTGTTGCTGCTGCTGGTGCTTCTCGCTCCGCTTCAGGCGGTACCACTCCCAGGACGTGGGCTCGTGTACCGAGTGGCTGTTCTTGATGCCATTGAAGCTGTAGCCCTTGTTTTTGCTCTTGCTAAATGGCGACTTGAAGAATGCCGGCGAGGACAGGCGTCTCGATTTCTTTGTCCCCTGCTCCTTCTCGGTCTTTCCGTCTACTGTGTCCAGTATCTGGTAGCCGGAGGGTCCCTCGGGCATGAACTCATTGTAGGCCAGATCGCTGGTAGGTATAAAGTTGGCCAAATCATCGTTGTCCAGCATCAGGCTCTCATCGAAGTCGCTCTGCGTGGCTGGTTCCTCGGCGAGCAGATCCTGCGTGAAGCTAGCTGGCGCGGATTCCTGACGTTTCAGAGCCAGCTGCTGGGATTTCTTTTTGCCCGCCTTGCCGGAGCTTTGTTTTATGCTCTTAAGGGTGTCTGAAATGGGTATAATTTGTTAGCATTTTCGATTTTGACCGAGGGTTTTGCAATCAAATACTCACCCACATCGAAGAACTTGTCCGTTTGCTCGCCGCAGGAAGTCTCCGTTGTGTCCAGACTGTTGTGCCAGGAGTGCTTAGCTCCCTTGCGCCTGTGCAGGGAACTCCGGACATTCCCTGTGCCGTTTGTGGTGACACCTAGCATATTGGCGGCTATATTATTGTTGCTACCATAGCAAACGGAAATCTTGCGCTGCCTGTTCGGAGGATCCTGCTCCTGCAAGACGGTGTCCCCGCACTCCTTCAGAATGAGCATGGCCTCTTCGCTGGGACGCCGTTGCTTGGGCGTCGTTTGATTCGGCATCTGTTCATAGGACTTGCGGCGATCCAGCTTGGTTTTGGTGGCCACAGGTGGATTGCCCGGCTGATCCTTCTTCAGCAGCTGCTGTTGCTGGCGGCGCAACTTGCGGTAGTAGACGGTGCCCAGGACGAGCATCAGAAAGATGCAGGTGCCCACAATAATGATAACCAGGATGCAGGCCTGCACCTGGTAGGACAGAGCCCTCACCTCGCCGGCCAGCTCCGCGCTCTGCTGCTGGTACAGCTGCTCCTGCTCCACATACCGCCGGCTCTGGTCCTCCAGCTGGCGCACCGTGAGCGTTTGTTGCGTTAGCGTCTGCTGCAGTTCCTCCACCTGCTTCTTGTAGCGCCGCGAGAGCTCCTCCAGGTACTGTCCAGACAGCGACATGTTCCGTTCGAGCGCCTGCGGAAGACAGAAAGCGTTCAAAGCGTCGTTCAAAGCCAGTGGTTAGTGAATTTAGCGGGTGGAACACGGAGAGAAATGGGAGAACCATCAAATATTAAACTATCAATATAAATCTTAAGAATTCGCGGTTTCTGAAGAACTGATTTAAATATCAAACCAAGTATAAGACCAGGCTTTATGATTTTTATTTTAAAACTCAAAAATAATCATTATTCTGAAGTTTACATTTTTTTTGATAAAAACAATGATTATTGTGTGATTTATTTATCATATTAAAATCATAATGATTACGGTGCCTATCTTAGACATTTTAATTTATCTATAAAAAACATAAATATAATAATGTTTTCAAGAAAACCAATATATTGCAAACCAGTTTCTAAAATTCTATCCACAAATTATTCCAATTTTTCTCTGCGTAACCACAGTATGGTTTTGAATGGATTCGCATATGTATATTGATGACGTCGGTCGGCAAGGTAGCGAATTGGCTGGCAGAACTGTTACAAGGATGAACCACTACACAATCCTTGGGCGGAGTCCAAAACGGGAAGTGGCTGCCGCTTGTAATGAGCAGCCAGCACGCAAGCTGGCTATAAACAAGTCACAAAGAGATTGCGAGTGCCAGAAGTCGATTAGGTGTTACCCTTTTTAAAAACTTTAAGAGATTTTGCGAGTGCTGATTTGCTAGGTAAAAGGCTAGTATAAATACATCCTTTAAAATTTCACATTATATAAAATCAACTAAACAGATATTACAAAAAAACATTTTATTAGTTAATATTAGGTTTTCCTTTTTTAAGGCTATTTTTTAAGAGAACTTGTTATAATATTCCCTTGAATGACTTATTCTTTCAACACCCGGTTCCAAATATAATTACATGACTCCTAGCAAGTGTATAATTTGGCTTCTGTCTTCCGGCCACTGCGAAGGTTTCTACTAACCCCCACTTCATCCTGCGTGGGTGGTTGCCTAGCTAGTTTCTAGTTTGCTTTTTCGTTTATTTCTGTATTTTTCGCCACGCCAACTGATGACGCACATGAATGGGCGGAAACCCCTTGAAAGGGGGATCTTGTAACACTCACCTTTATGCGATTGGAGAGTCTGATGAACACACTCTCCGACTGGGCACCGTTCGTCAGCTTCTGCTGCAGATTCACGCTTGATCCCGTGGCTGATCCAACTGCTCCAATTGCTCCACCTGCCATGCCCAGATTGCCGTTTCCGTTCACCACAGCTGCTGCAGCGGCAGCTGCTCCTCCGCCAGCAGTTATCGAAGCCACCGTGGTGGTCAGTAGATTGTCAATGCTTTCCCAATTGGCCGGATTTCCCTCCTCAATGGCTAGATCTCCGTTCGGCGGAACTTCACTGGATGACGAAGGCACATTGGTGCTTGGAGCGTTGGTGGTGGACTCCACGTCGCTGGCTTCCAAAGTGGTTGGCATAGTTGGCTCCGGAGGCAGCTGAACTTTTAGCACCACTTCCTCGGACTCCGCTGCCACATTGAATATATTCACATCGGCTGGCGTGGAGTTCGTGGTGGAGGAAGTTTCACTTGAGGTCGACGACGGGTCTTCCACTGAAGGCACTTCTTGGCTGGATTCGGCCACCATAACCTCCAAATTCGGGGTTGCAGGAGGTTCCTTCTCCGAAGCTCTTCTTGCTTGGCTTCCCTCGATGTTCTCACAATCCTGACGAACTCCCGTGGCCGTGGCATTATCCTGCAGCTGCTCGGGCGCACTGACATGCTGCTTCAACGCTGGCGTCTTCGTTTGCTGCTGTTGATCGGTAACATTCTGCTCCGCCTGGATCAATTTGCACATAGCTCCCACATGTTCCGCTGGCAGCATGCTGAGGAAATAGCTCTGTTCCTTGCCCATTTTACTCGAGGAATCGGAGCCCATTAGGCTTATGCCGAAATCCTCCTGGCACACACGACTCTGAAGAAGATCTGCTCGCAGACGAGTGAGACTGAGGAGCAGCTGCAGCTGCTGGAATTGGCAGGACAGAAGGCTGTTGATCCTCTCCACCAAGGTGCTATTACAGTTGCTGCAGTTGTAGGCTTCAAATGCAGGTGTTTGGCAGAGCAGCGAGTCAGCCGACCATTTAAGAGCCTTTGTGGGTTTCACCAGCACCTCGGCTGCCTTCTTAACCATCTGCATCACCGCATCCGAGGCGCTTTGAAAGATGTTGCCACCACTGCCCACGGCTGCCTTCTGTTCTTGAGCCCCGTAGTCGTCGTAGAAATCATCCAGATCATCGCTGGGCCGAATTTCCGTTTCGAAAGCCTCGTATTCGGATGTGCCGAACACTCGGAACAGCGAAAGTGGACAAAAGTGCTCATTGGCGTAGTGCGAAGTGATCTCGACGCGCACGAATTTTCCAAATAAATGAGGATGCAGTTCGAAGGTCTGAATCGTTCGCTTGTCCTCCGCCGCAAAGCGTCCCACATTGCTCCAATCGCGGGTGGGGAATCGCTTCGAAACGGCGACCGTAAAGTTTTTAGGCGATGAACTGAAGAGCTCATAGTTGGCCACGTCCACCTTCTGCGCCTGAATGGCCTCGCATAGTTCGACGACGAACCAAATCCTACTTCCGCAAGTGCTCAGCATATACTCATCGGTGGATTGGGTGAGCACGGCCTCCGTGTGCTTGGACTCGGAATTGTGTGCAATGATCTTGGCTCCGCAGTCCGGAGAGGCGTAGTTCTTGGAGCGCAGCTTCAGTGTCGGCGGCTTTCCACTCGAGGATCCCGTGTTGTTCCTGCGTTGGGCAGAGTTATTCACCACTTGCTGCTCCAGCTCCATGGCCTGCTCTCGGCTGGCCTCAGCCTCCATTTGCTTTTGCGCCCATTCGGAGAACACAGGCATGGGCACCTCCTCGTTGGCACTCGTCAGGTTCGCTGTGGCCTCCGTGTCATTGGATGCAGATGATCCTCCTGTAGGCTGCAACTCCTCGCTGGTTTCATTGCTTTCACCTGCTGGCGTTGCATCCTGTGCAGGTAATCCCTCTAGGTCGATGCCTCCTCCGGGATCATTTATCTTCGGCAATTGCTCGTCTAAAAGGTAGAAATTAAATTAATTTCTTATTAAAGTTTTTAAGTTTATTTTACAATATATTTCTTACCCTTTTGAGGCACTTCTTTGTCACCTTCAAGGATTATCTTGGGCTGATCTTGATGAGGTGGCTGCTGTTGATGTTGCTCCTCATCGCTATGGTTGCCCGCTGTAACCTGGGAATCATCGAGGATAACCGATTCAAGGCGGTTCTTCACTCGATCCAGGGGCAGCTCTGTAATAGTGACAGTTGGCAGCTCCGTAATGATCTCAGGAAAGCTGCAATAAAATTGAGAAATTAAAATACAATGCATTTATACAAAAATCTGGGACATAAGGTATTTTTATGGTACAGTTCAGTACAGTTAATATCCCACCTCATGAACACCGTTGATATGGCTATTATTTGAGAGAACCATATAATCCAGAAGAATATTAGAAACATGGTCAGGTTTGTTTTCAGCTTTTTCAACTCACAACAAATGAACTTCATAACGAATTGTAGCAGCATTTTTCGTACATTCAATTTTTGGGGCTCTAATTGCGGGTGATCATTGTTTAAATTACGTATTGGCTGATCAAATAACCACAGCTGTGACCCTGCTTTAGATTTAATATCTCTCTCGCCTGTATCCGCAAGCCAAATGGGAACCGAGTTTAGGCCACGTTGGAATCTTGTCCAGCTGATTGCCGAGAAGCAAATATCTAGAGCAAGTCATAATACTCGACTGACGGAGGTGCAAAGTATGTAAATATGGAAACAATATTCGAACTCACACTGAGAACGTTTTGTTTTTACTTTATTTCTTACGAGCGAACTCGCAGCAGCTGTGAAAAAAAGTCAGGGGAACCTTAAAGGGGGTGCGGTGAAAAAACCCAGACTTCTCGCGGAGAATTCACTGATCCACATTTGAATGTAAAGTGCAGGCGTGATAGCGATCGCTTATTTATTTGTCGACATGAACTTACTGAGTATTTTTTAATTACCGGGGAATTTACAGTTCAAAGAGCTTAGAACTAAACCAAATTTTGAAACAACAAGATTATAAATAGAAAAATAATTTCTCAACTTTGTCATTTTTGGTTGCTGAAATTTTGCAAAAATATATATTGCAGTTTTGCAATTATGTTGAATTTTTGTGTAAAAATGATTTCAAGATGCTTGTGAGAGAGAAGATCTGACAGGGCAAATGTAAAAGTCTTAAAACTAATTAAGCAGACTGAATAGTACTATATGACATATTATATACGCCTTTCAAGGAAATGTGCGTGAAAATAGAAATTGTGTCAAAATCGGATTTATGAAAATATTGTGGGGGCGTTGACAGTTTATAAATAAATTGATCAAATTATGTCAAGTTGAGAACGCGATAAGTGCAATTATTTTTGGTAGAGATAGCCAAAATATATTTGCCATTTCAATGTTTAAATTTCTTGGTCACTGACCGCTTTCAACAATTCGTACAATTAATGGCGACTCTACGGGGGCCTGAATAAATTCCTTTAAATGCGTTTTCTCGTGTGCATTAAGTATATATATTTTTATTGTGGCATATATTATTATGTCATGGCTGCATCTCTATTGTTGCCTATAAAACGCTTGTTCATGTGGATTTCCTGCTTCTTTATGCATGAGATTAAGTCGCAAATAGATTACTTTCTCCCTTTCCTTGGGATTTCCCACTTCCGTCACAAGAATTAAATGTGGAATTCAGGTCCAAAACAAATATTTATCCAAATAAAACCTGTTGGCCTAGTCTGTTTTTATAAAGTTCCATTTAAAGGCTTTTTGTGAATTTAAGCTCAAATAGAATTTAGTTAACTTTAATATTTTTAGTTAATTAAACTATTCCACCATTTTTTTCTGTACAATAATGTTTAATGTTATTTAAGTTATTTAAATACTAATACACAAATCAATCAATGTGAGCAGCAACAAGTGTTATGCCCAAAAATACAAATAAACACGAAGTCGAGTAAACAGAAAATAATTTCAACAATTTCAACGCGCTTTTGACATAATCGAAAAACAACAAACGAAGCAATGAAAAAATAAGAAAGCAATTGAAATGTAAGTAACTGACCTAAGCAAATAAAACGATTGATGGGCGAAAAATGTGGGTATTATTCAAGTATTATAAATGTTTATTGTAAATAGTTTTAAAAATACAATTATTTTTCTACTCAGAAAAAAAATGACAACTGATCAGATTGATATTCATATCATTCATTAATAAGGATTACGTTTACCATATTTAACATTATTTGTTAAAGAATGCCATATTGGGGTATGAAAATTGGATATTGGATATGAAAAAATATCAAGTGAATATGTTTAAAGCATAAATTTCATATAAATCATATCGGTTTATTATTGATATGAAATAATGCAGAATTGACCCTATTTCATATTAATTTTTTTTTTCTTAAGAAAAAAAGGAAGTTATTAAAAAATAATATTTAATAGCAATCAAAAAAATGTTGTACCGAGACACTGATACCAGACGCCTCGGCATCATCTCCATCTGATCTTCAGTCCTACCAACCGGAAACTTGAGATGACAGCGGGAACAAAAAATTCAACTTTTGAGTGGACTTGGCCCACCTCGAATCTCTCGAAGCCTCACGAAACAAAGTGGTTCGAAAAATGATGAAAAAAAGCGGCCTTTCGAGGGGCGACATGCAACAATTAGCGCACATTTGTATGCATTTTTATTACATAATAAACAAGAGAGTGTCTATCGCCCAAGCAGTTTACTCTTTCCATTTTGTTCGTTTAAAGGTCCCAAACTAATTAACCAAAATTCGCAACTGTTAGTTCCTCTTTCTCTCGGTTCAAAAGAAAAGTGTATCAAATGGGTGCTAAACCACAGTGTTAAATGTGTCCAATTCGCGAGTTTAAAAGAGGGCGGAACACTTCCCATTCCTGCCAGGCCAACATATGTAAATTCAACTATTCTATAATAATTATTGGCCTGGGCCGCGAGTCGCGTCAAAAACGCCCACAATCCTCCAAAAGTCCCTGGTCTCAAGAAGGAAAACTTCCCAGCTGGCTATGAATATATATCGTACATACATATATATTTATGACTTGTCTGAACAACAACGCAGAGTAAAGTATGCAAACTGTCTGCCTGGGCAGTAAGTCAAGCCATGTAAGGCATTTTGGGTTAACCTGGCCGTTCCGGCAGTTGCGTTTTCTTGATTTTTTTATTTTTGCACCAACTTGTCTACACGTTTGTCAGGAATTTCTGGCTTTTCTTTTCGGCTGAATTTTGAATAAATTAATAAATACAACATATTCCAGCAACGATGTGAAAATTGCTTCAGTTTCTAAAAAGTGTGAAAAGTGAAAATATTTTATGGGCGCAGCTCCTGTAGAGGAAATCTCTCATACAGATTAATATATTTCGATAAAAATTCCAAATTGATGAGAAAAAGTTAAAAATTGTTTAATTCCAGCCCATGTTGCTCCCTAAAATGTTTGTCAGTATTTGAATGAGCTACTAAAATTTTCGTAAACATATTTAAACAACTAAATCGAACCCAAATAAGTCAGTTATTAACTTAAATTTCGAGCACGAGTCTATGGGTTAACCCAGAAACAAAATGGTCAGAAGTTGAACCAAAACAAAACTATGAAAACGAAAATGAATCTTAATTATGATGGCAGTTTTCACCATAAGCGAATTTGTAATATGTCTGGTCTGCGGCAAAGAAGCATGGATGCAAATATTTATAATGTCTTTTGTCGCTATTCTCGAACAGCATTGAAATGTCTTACGCACATGAAATATCGCTCAAATTCAAAACTACACATTTTCCAATGTGGGTGTGCTTGCCCACTTACAATTATTATAGATCAACCATCTAGTATTTGTTCCTCCCAAATCTCGCGACTTCTGTTTGCTCTTCATCAAAATTTGCACAACTTAGAGTGGCTACAAATAGTGATTTGATGAACAAACTAAATTATAAACACTTGGTGGCAATTTCGCTTAATGGGCATCCGGTTTGCAGATCAAACATTAACCAAAGCCACAATCAATATTGCCACTTGACAAACAAAAGGTGTTGGCGGAAATAATTGCAATTAAGAGCTATTTTTCGTATTTACTTGATCGATATGCGAAATCAATTTGGGTCAGACGGGTTTCTAAGGACTTTAAACTACTATTACTAGTAGGAAGATAAAAGGGATCTCAGCTGTGGTTATTGATGGTTTGGGTTTTCTTAATTAAACGTTTCTTCAAGGACTCTTTTTTTAAGCAACACGGAGGAAAAATATAACAATACGAAAATTAAAATGTGCTACTTTTTTAGCAAATTAATTAGAAACATTGAACTTATTTGAAGAATATTTAAAATATATAAACATTACAAAAAATATCCTAGAATTGTTTTATCTTGTGTATACCGGCAGTATATTGAAATTAAATAATAAATCGAGTACTCAACAAACAATAATATTTTTATATTTACACCTTATCTTGATCCATTTTAATAAACCAAAATTCAAAAAATTTAACAAATATGAACAGAATTAGCTTTTTGATAGAAAATATTAATTTTAAATAAATTTTTAGGAATATATTGTTATATTTTCTCTCTGTGCTGGCAATTACTTGAAATTTCCAAATTAAATCAAGTGTTTTGTGAAAAAAGTGCACTGCAGGCACATCTACACACACACACACACACGAGCGCGTCGGTTAACAAGGATGTCAAGGATACTAGATAAGGTATAGGATTCCGATTCGCGATCTCAAACACCCAACGATGGGAGGATGCGGATGAGGTGGCACCACCGGCGAGGTAGCGGAGCGCACGATCGCACCACTGGAAATCGAAATGAGAACTGAACGTATTACGGAGTCGGCTCTAGGTAATTGTGGTCCAAGTGTGCAGATATATTTGACGCCATATCTCGGAGAGCCGCCATATCGGGAAAACAAGCTTTAGCTTTACGAGACAGACTACGTAGAGAGGGAGAGAGAGTCGGAAAGAGAGCATTACCTCAGCCACCGAGACATCCACATCGACATCTCGCAATCATCTTGCATCGGCCTGCACTTGCAGCTGAGAAGCATTTTGCCGGCAAACTTGTCGCCCAGCTCCCCTCATCCATCTAAGAAAACTGACGCGAAAAAAATCCAAATTGATGGCCAGAAAGGAAAGCACCTAAAAGTGGCAATGCTTCAAATGAGCTCAGGTGTGAGTAGATCATTTTTCAAAGGCCCCTTTTCTTGAGGAAGTTATATAGTCTTGAGAGTGAAAAA